ATCATTGATACCGAGCCTCCCCTTGCTTTGCGCCCGCTCAGAATGAGCGCGTCCATGTCTTTCCTGCTCGTCAGTCTCGCTCTGTGTCTCCGGGGTGTCAACGTCGGCATCGTAATCTTGGTAATGAATGCTATGGCTCACCCAAGCTTGGTGCTGTTGATGCTGTTGTTGTTGCTGCTGCTGCAGCTGCTGCAGCATTCTGAACGCCGGTGCTAGTTCATCAGCGTCACGTTCATCATCACCATCATTGTCGTTCTCAGCCTGCGGCATCTCCCGGTTCCCAAGCTTATTCTCCAGCTCTTCCACGTCCATTGGCTCCAGCTCTACCTCCATCTCCTCTGCCGCAACCGCCGCGTCAAGTAGGTCTTCAACATTGCCGCTGGCACCGCCTTCCTCCCCAGTAGGGGCACTGGCGCTCTGGCGCTGACTCCGTCCCCTCGGCCTCAAGATCTCATCCCTCTTATCCACAAACCACTTAACACTCTCTGCACTCGGATTAACTGGGTTTCTCGTTCTAAACACCTGGGCTACATCCCAAAGCGTCTGGAGTGCCTCCTCATCCCCCTTTTGCTCCCGGAGTCGCAGAATCTTGTCGTTATCAACCCAGGCAGCCTTCATCTTAACGAACAGCCGCCGATCGTTGTGGTAGCGCTGAATTTCCTCGGGCGTCATGTCGTTTGTCGGGTGGTATTTGGGCGTGGTGCGCAGCGAGGGGACGGCCTGGCCAAAGATGTCTGCTGCTGTCGAGTGATATTCATTGGTCTTGTGGGTGGAGGGGTAGTTTTGGAAGGAATAGCTTTCGTAACCCAGGGGCGGGATTGGGACTGCAGGGCCGCCATAGGGGGTTTTCATGCGCAAGATCGAGTTGAGACTGTGCTGGTGGAAGGCGTCGAAATCGGCGCGTTGGGGGATGTTGTTGTTAAGGGACTGAGGAGCAGGAGGGGCGGAACTGGCGCAGGGTGAGGGTTCTTGCCAGGTGTCGGGAATGGGGCGGAAGGTCATGAGGGAGGGAAATTCTTTCAGCTTGGAGTCGAAGATGCTTCGGTAAAGAACCATGATCAGGTTCTGTTTGCGCTGTTGTTCGCGGGAGATGGGGGGTTTCGCTGGTCGTGAATCGGATCTGAAGTCGTCCCCAGCGAGTTGGACAGCGGATAAACTGCCGGCCTGATTCTGGTTGCTCATACGGTCCAGGGCCCTCGCCATTGCGCCGCGAACGGGTCGACCAGACGCGGCAGTGAGCTCAGTCGGCAGATGTTCGAAATCCCTGAGTAGAGACATGTTGCTCAGAGGCGAAGGTTTGACGGGAGCGTTGCTAGAGGTTTGGCTCTGCGGGACATGACGATGATGCTGCTGCTGCTGCGGCCCAGTGAAGTGTAGGTGACGGGAACCGCGACTGGCTTCACTTGTAACGTGATTGGGAGAGGTTTGTAGTTCGTCGACACATTGGTTTTGTTGTATTTTGCGACGGGATTCACTTTGCTGACACTGAGCAAGTTTCTCTTGTTGCTCAACGCGGCGAGGTTGTCGTGGGGTGCGACTGGTCTGGCTAATGCGATCGTAGGCAACTGTCGCTGATCTGCGCGGGTTGGGGCGATAACTAGCCGCAGTGTAAGCTGCGTCAAGTTCGAAATCAAACCGTGATTCAGAACACTGGGAGTCGGTAGCCGATGGCTCTTCTTGACTGGCTCTGTGAGGTAGCGACTTCTGCCTTTTAGAATGGGGCGTGTAGTCCTCGTCTTCATCTCCACCCGCTTGACGGCGTGGCATTGTAGCACTTGTAGGGGCTGGGAAGCATTCGGGAGGAAACAGGGTGCGCAAAGAGGGCAGTTGCGGTTGGTGTTGGATAGAGGGTGAAGAGGAGACTGAGATTGAAGAGGTCGTGTCCGCCTTGTTGGGCTGGGCGCGAGCGGTAGCGCGTGGTCTTTTAATCGTACGCTTCGGTGCCGGTTCCGTTGTACTCCAGTCCGTTTCGGCAATGTCAACGAAATGCCTGCCGTCCCCCTCCAGCATCTTTGCAAAGACACACAGTTTGCAGACATAAAAGGGGCAAACTTTGCAGCGGAGGAGGAAGTCTGGTGCCCTCCGATTGCATGTGTCGCACATCTGGATTTTCCCAAAGCGCTTCTCCCACCCCTGATGGCAAGGTTTTCTTTTTGAACCACTGTTTGCTGTGATTTCGGCGGCTTTTCTTTTGGTGCCAGCACACCCAATGTTGGTGTATCGGCCGCTCTTTGAGTCCATGGGGATATGACAAGAACTCCGGATGAGGTATAGTGACTGTCGGTGGTGGAAGTGGTGAAGAAGGCCAAAGTAAATCGAGAAAGCGGATAGATTATGGTCGACAAAATAGGGGTTACAGAGAACAAGAGGGAAGGAATGACTGTAGACTGGGGGGCTATCAACGTTATTATACCATGGGTAGCAAGAATCTATCTCCATGGTCGTCATGGAAGGTGAATAGGTGCTGTGTGCCCACGGGCGTAGGGGAGGAAAGACTCAGGTTGGGATGAGTTAGAAGGTGAAGAGAAAAGGTTTGGACTCCCGGTTTCTCGTTTGGTTAGCTATAGCTCTTGTGCATTTTTGGATGGATGTGCAGAGCACTCGCTCTTCACGTCCCAGAACAACTGTGTATGGTATGGTGATTTGAACCTGAACCTGGTATTCTAGAGATGCAATCCGGTGTGCTAGTGCGCTTCTCAGAGCCTTTGCCCACTTCAAACAGATAGCATGCCTCCCTGAAGGTGCATCATTCTTACCCTCCACGGTGATTCTAGTCTATATTCCCTCAAAGCCAACCCTGACCGTAACTCGTTGCAGTTATACTACCCCTTGGCTACTCACCTCCTTGAACCATATGACAGCAAAACAGGAGAAGGTCAGAAATAGATGGTAGTGGTAAGCTCTTACTGACTCTCCTGTTCCTGGGTATAGAATTCTGGTATCAATATCCGGGATGAAGCTGGTTCAAGGTTTAGGGACTGTTACACTGTGGCCCATGAGTACTTCAATGGCTCAGGTTTCCTTTTTTCCTTTGAGAAGATAGATTGCGGTTTGATGAGAGATAGAAGGAGTGTCTTGTTGGCTTGGCGAGTCACTTGACTGTTGGCGTGTCTTTACAAGCATAAAGAGTTCCGGTTTCCTGTCACTCACGCCAGTTTTTCAAACTGCCACCAGTTAGCCTGTCCATAGATTAGGTCTCCAATTTCCGATAAGCGCCGAAGGGATGAGAGTAGACGATGTTTGTCGGCCGACGGGCCAGATGCTCGTTAGTCGTCGTAAACGGGGGCGCTTTCGGAACCGGTGCCAAGACTGAGGCTCCGAAATGTCGAATGGCCAAGGCCCGTTGCTGTTTTGTGTTTCATGCCATCTGAGACCACGCCTTGGCACAAATAACCAAACAGTCACTACCCGAGCGAGCTCCTATCAGCTCAAAGGTTTGAGGACGCATCAGAGGGACTCCCATCAACCGGACATTGAGGTATTCACAGTGTCGGCGCACATCACGATGTGGTACCTGACTGATTGACCTGCCATCCATCGTCTGGATGGATAAACCCTGTAAGCCAATCCCAAACAATTCCGTTCGGCCCTTCATCTCATCCCCAGTGTGTTTTCATTGGTCAATCACTTCATTTGATCTTACGCGTGTGCATCGCGTTTGGCTGGCGTTGGACGCCTTTCCACTTTCCAGCGTCATCCGCCTCAGTGACACAATGGGCCATGTGTCTTTGCCCGTTCGGCTCCCTTCGCACCCGGTCCCTTTCCGGCCGCCAGCTTCTGTTCATTCTCGCCGGCCGAGATTAAACCGCTCCCTTGGCAGCCTGACGCAGCGCTTCCGCTCGCTGTAGACCAACCGTCCTGATCAACACCAATCGCCGATTCGATGGTTGGACACGACTGACAAGAACAACCTCAACGTCGCAGCTTGCTTGGCTGAGCAATAGCTGGGAACTCGTTGTAGATTAGGTTAGTTAAGCCCCCTTGTGACCTGAGGGTCTGGTCATCTCATTCTCGTGGTCTCCTTGAGACGCCAGCTTGGTTCATGAATAGTTCTGGTGCTTTGGAATGCGGTTCATGAAAAGAACAATCGGGGCTTTGTCAGCCCAAGTAAGTATCAGCTCGCATTTGCCAGTGAACTCCAAGTCGACGAAAGAATGGTTGTAGGAAGTGGAAGCCTCAAGGTACTTATGTACACTACACGTGTAGTGAGGTGACACTGAAAAGCATCAATCAAGTGGAGCACATCATGCGTACCTACCTAAGCTTCGCGCTTTTCATTGGTAGATCTGTGCTAGAGCATGGCGCCCCCTTGCTCGCCCCATCATGTGGCCCGCTCACGAACCACTTTTCTGACTGTAGGCTATCGGCCATGTCCCCTGTGAACCCTGGACGACACTCTGGGAGTCTTATTAGGCGCATTATTCCTCATCAGGACCTCGTCACTTTCTTCTGACTTTTACACGACAACAACCACCTGGAACACGTCTATTCAGCCTATCGCGTAGCTTCCTGCTCTCAGCCTTAACTTCCACTTGATCGGCTACTGAATCAAACTTTCTGCACGTCATCGTCCTGGAAGCCTCCTCCCATTAGCATCAACACACCCCTTTGCGCGCGCCGCTCATCGTCGCTTGTCGCAAGCGGGAACCACCTCAAAAACTCAATCCCAAAACAAGGAACACGAGCGCGCGCTTGTCTACCATACTCTTCCTCTTCGTCTTTGGGGTTGGAGTTTTCCAAGACGCCTACACTACACTATACATCTCGCGACCTCCTTGGAGACTGTGACCTGCGCTTCAGATCATCTAATCAAGATGCTGCTACCTTCAGCCTTTGGTTGTGACTTGTCGCAAACACGACCTCAGCAACCTCTTTTCGTCTCACCTCCTGCCAGTCCTAAACAAGCGCCTGCTTCGGCTGATTTGAATAATCTCTTTACCACGTCTCGGTCCCTGCAGTTTCTCATGACCTCCTCCGATCCGTTCCTCGAGCACAGCAGCATGAGCCCGGCGATTGCAACGCAGCCTATCACTCCCCAAACGATATCCCATGGGCAACTACTCACCCCGCCCATGTCCCACGCGATGCCTCCGGTGAAGCTACGGCTGCGCGCAAGAAAAACCTCCGAGTCATACGGATCTAGGAATGCCGATCAGCCTTCCCAGCGCAAGCGCATCATCAAGCGGCCACCTCCGTTAAAGGGGCTCAATAGGCGCCACCGCGCACTGGACGACAAACGTGGACGAGAAGAAAGCAATGAACAAGACTCAGATCAATACCAAGATCACGACGGGAACCAGCACAACAATCAGCTGCAACAAGCCCAACAGCAGCCGCAGCGGCAAACGCAACAACGACAACGAGTAACGACGCCTTCTGTACCACCCCAGTTGCTCCCACCATTTGGCAGCCGACCACAAACCCCCCCACGGTCGCGCATAGCTCCAGAAATTATCCCTCTCGGGCTCGACCATTCGGACTATCACGCGCTCCACGCCGACCATGCGAACGAGAGCCAACAACAAGCCACCGCGCCAGGAACCGACGTAATTGTAGAAGATGGAGAGCCGTGGAGCTCCGAGGAGGATTGTATTCTTGTTGAGCTAGTGCTGGACAAGCTCAAGCTTACAAAATCCGATTGGCAAGATTGCGCGCGCAGCATGGGCAAAGACCGCAAGAGCGTGGGAACGCGATGGAAAAGCTTGATGGTCAGTGGAGACGTGGGCCTCAAATCCAACAGCAGTCGACGGAGTGGGATTCACGGAACCTGGCGTTGAGAGTTCCCATGTCCTCTTTGCAACTTTCTACTTTGTCATATTCCTTGCCACTACTAATTTCTGCCGTGGGGCCTGGTATATCCACGTTGCTATTTTTACTTACTGCTATACTCGTCGGCGTGGGAACCCAGGGATTTTCGGGAAATGAGGACAGGCTGCAGTAACATCATCAGAACCATCTACACAAGCATTCTGGGGCGTTGGAGGTTGCCTTTTTGCTGCCATCTACAACTTTGCTTTTGGGAGAAGAGACTGGCCAGCTTTCATGGACGGGGCGTACAAATCTGACACCAGACAGATCAGCCACACGGACAGAAGATTTGCTTACTTCTTATTAGAGCTACTAGGACATATCATGGCTGGGAGACGTTTCTCCTACATTTTTGTCCAACAACAACGCGCAATCCACGTTGCTTTTTTACTCAGACGACTGTCACTTCATCCACTGTGCCGCTTCTTGATGTTTACGTCCATGTTCTACCGACCCGTTGTTCCGAATTCAGATCCAGCTCGTCGTGGCTACTCAACGGTTGTTGGCTCTTTGCTGTGTATCCTGGTGAGACGTCAAGACACACTTCAACCCCCTACATATGTCCTAGTAGACTTGCTGCAAATATTCGAGCGCGCTTCTAGGAACCCGCTTCTGGATCGCAGGCAAGGGATGAAGTTGGCGGTGCAGTACCCGGCTGAGGCCGAATCCCCAACCACCCACACAACGCACACACAAGCCCGATGATCTCAAGCAAGTCTTTGTTTCTTTTTGCTATTCACATTGATCAGCGACCAGCGACTAGGTCACACTAGTCGGGGTGGCTCCCATTAGTATGGTTCTTTGAATCTTGAGGCTGAATAAAGGGGGCCCTTTTTCTCTACCTACCCTTGGTGACTAGGGTATTATATGAGGTTACTAGATCTAGACTTCGGCTAACCGCGGGAGAGAAGCATGAGAAATATCATGACTTATCATACAAACACGGCAAGTTCCTTGACGATGGTGATGGTGACCCAAGTTGCCAAAGGGGAGTCAAGAGAAGGAGACTAATACTGGTTGCCGTTGGGAGTGTCCGAAGGGAAGATCCATTGTGCGGTCAAGACTGAAATACATAGCACCAACCGACCGCTCAACAGGCTAAGGATAAAGGGTTCCCTGATAAACTAAACAATTCTCCATCCACCCTTGTCATGATGGGTAAATGCATGGGAAAGGTGATGTGATGAATTACAATAGTAACAACAACAATTCCCGGGAGCGAACCCCGGGAACTGGGGACAGCCAGTTTAGAAAAAGAATAAGAAGAAAATGAAGTGAGCACACCCCCTTGCCTGTCCCCTTCCTTGTCCTCCTTGCATGTCTCGCGCTTATCGGCAACATTTCCCGCTTACTTGCTCTCTTCTTCCCTTCACCCACAGGCCTGTCCTACGGTGAGACCCCTCTCTTTTTTTTCTTTTTTTCTTTTGTTTCTTTTTTTCTTCTTTTTCTTTTTTTTTTTCCGGGTTCAACAATGTTTCAAATTCCAGGTTTCATTTTTCCCCTATCCCCTGGGTTCTTGGTAAGACATAAAGGAATGTCCTGAACACTAATTTGTGTCTCGCCATGTACACAATCTATATTTGATGGGATATTGGATCTTGACTGCTAGGCTGGGTTCTTTGTTGCGTTATCACTCCTCTCGGCAAGTTTGTATTAGTTTTTTTTTCTCTTTTTTCCTTTTTTTTTTTTTTTTCTTTGGCACATCATGGAGATTTTCCCCTAACATGTAGCAGGTGCCGTGGTAACTAGGGCATTGTTTCCTACGATCGGTATTATACAACCTACAAAGGGTGCACCAGACACTGGATGTCGGATAGTGACCTCCACTGAGCCGGTCCATAATTAGTTAGTCTGGGGAAAGCTAACCATTTCTCGGCCATGTCAAGGTCAAACAGCCAACCAAAGCCGGACCAGAGTAATGGTGCAAACAGATGATACGTCAAGCGACTTTGACGTGATGCGGTCACCGGCTTCCGATTCTATCAGCTCAACGTCGAAGAGGGTGGGTGCCTTATCTGATGGTCTTCAATTAACATGTGTCTCCCAACTTGCATTGCAATCAACATCAAACATTCAGTGCTTCCACCCAAAAAAAAACCCAAAATAGACACAGAGAAACAAATTCACTTCATTCTGAACATCCCTAACCATTCCTTCAACCCTATGAAAATAAAATAAAAAGCTAGGTCGCCGAGCTAGGCTTGTAGAACCAACGACAAGGTCCCAGCTGCAGGGCTACGAAAACCGCCACGCACGTTTTCATCAACGGGAAGTACACTACACCATAAGAGCACAGGGCCTGCTGTGATAAAGGATCAGATAGCGGACCTCGCATGCCCGCTGGTGCTTGTTGCCTGGGCCTGGTCCAGGGCCAGTCTGGGAAGGCGCGGGCTGGGCAGGTATCATGTCGCCCGATGTCCAAGAAGGACATGGCGAGCACAAAGAAGATCAAGGAGATGGGGCGTGCCGGCTTAGGTGTCTGATTGTTGATGACTCGGTCAGTGAGAAAGGAGTTGAAGGCAAGCTGTTCGCGGCGGCGATGGTGTTCGTGACGGAGGCTGGGTTTTTGAAGTGTAGATTAACGACGTCGGGGGGAGCTGGAGGCGGCGAGAAGGTTGGTTGAGCGTAGAACTAGGGGGTTTGTGGTGGTGGTGGTGGAGGAGGAGGAGGAGGAAAAGGAGGAGAAGAGCGAGGAGTATGTGGGGGAGGATGATGGAAGGAAACAGATTTTGAGAGGGGTGAAGTATGCTCGGCGGAGGGATGTGGTAGTGCTCCCCGGAGGGGAAGCGGGCAGACACCGGAACAGAAGTGATTGTTGGTTGAAATTGATGTCTTTTTGGTTTCCCTCGTGGTAATCAAGTTTTGTGCTTTCGTATCATTGTTATATCTGTAGTGCCGACGAGAAGGTCCAAGAGGCTGGCACATGAGATGCCCCAGAAATCTCAATATCCGAATGAGGCTCTCCCACAGGGATATGATATGCGCTTGTTCTTCTGCTCCATGTGGGTGGCTAACCCAACGCAACTCTTCATATCCAGCAGACCTTTCCCAACACCCATCTCAACGTCCACCAAGCTCCCCATATCGCAACCATGCCCGCGAGCACAAGACTTGCAACCACAGTACGCCGCATCTGAAAGGCGTCATCAGCTTCCATGGCCATGAGTTTTCGCTGCTTGCTGTGATAATAGCCGTCCATATTCTCGACTGGTTTACCGTTCTCGTCCACGGCAGTGTAGTGATATGGGCGATACTTGTAAACTATGCGATGAAGCCATGGAGGCAGCCTGCTAGGCCGTCTTTCGGCGTGATAGTGAGAGCGATGCATAGAGTACTTCAGATCGACGATGGCAAGAGATATAATGAAGGATACGAAGATGATCGGAGTCATGACCACCTTGGAGGTTTGTGTTAGTGAATCTGATTTAGGCTGTGCATGAGGTCATTCGTCACTCACCTTGTATAACGCGGACTGGCGCCGGATGTCGGGCTTTGCATCGCCTCGATTGCCACTGACGGGCACGGGGGGTTTGGACATAATGTATGGGATGCCGGGTGCAGGATTGAAAAATTGTTATATGTGGGTTGTCTGGGTTGATATTTTTGAAGCTCGATGATGCAGGTTGAAAGCAGATTCAAGAAATGCGAGAACCCGTACTTAGCATTCGTTGAGACCTAATTCTAACTGAAGCTAGCGTGTCGTATGTGGAGTTGATGCTGAGTTTTCGCAGGTGAACTGGAAGGTGGGAAATGCCCGCCGAGCTTCGCAAAGTTGATGCTGACGTTACATGTTGGTTGTTGTGGTGTAAATACCTTATACGGCACAATTTGCTAGCGAATCAGTCCGGACCTTGTTGCTTTCACATGACCCCAAACTGCTGCCTATCAACAAGCATTCAGGTCTACGAATGCCCACTACCTGTTGACGCATATATGACATTGATCACCGCAAGCAGGTATATACGTGTCTATGCATTTGCAAACAATGAACCAGGACTGAAGAAGCAATCGGATGGGAGACCGGTGCAATTCATGCTTGGCGCGTCCCGGTCTGATCGGCCTGAACCGAGAGATCGCGGCGCCCCCGGATGCCGGATCATCGGGAGGGGAACGGATGAGCGTTAAATGTTGGGAGTGGGCCGAATCAACGTCACAGGTGCCAATCTCCAAATGCCGTCATCAGGTTGATTTCACTCATCTCTCATTTGTAGCTAACGAAAACAACGCTGCTTCCCTGTTTTCACTTGCTTGCTGCCTGTGCATTTAGGGGAGGGCAATGCACTCAATCTCAACATCGACACCCTTGGGAAGCTGGTAAACAGCAACGCAGCTGCGAGCAGGCTTGTGGGTGAACCACTTGGAGTACTCCTCGTTCATGGCCTGAAGAGCGTTTAGTAGATTGCGAGGTCAAGACGAGGCTCAGACTAAGTAAAGACTCACAGCAAAGTTGCTCATGTCAGTAAGGAAGGCATTGACCTTGACGACCTTCTCGATGGACGAGCCAGCGGCCTCAAGGACAGCCTTGAGGTTCTTGATGCAGGCGGCAGTCTTCTCCTGGATGGTACCCTCGACAAGGTTGCCCTCAGAGTCGCAGGGGATCTGGCCAGAGCAGTAGATGGCAGCGGGGGTCTTGATGGCGTGAGAGTAGGGACCGGCAGCTAGAAACAGTTCAAGACAGGTTAGTCATCACCGAACTGGTGAGTCTTGATACATCCCAGAGCACGTACGAGGAGCGGCGTCCTTGGAGAAGACGGGAGTGGCAGACATGGTGACTGTGCGGTAGAGGGTCGGAATGGGACTGGTTGTTATGAAAATGGCGGCGGAAGAGATGGATGGTGAAAAGATGACTCTGGAAGCACGTTTGGCAGCAATGGCAAACATCAGGTCAATTGAGATAGAAAAACCATTTGTGGGTCACCAGCTGCTATGTGCTATTCGTCTCCAAACTGCATAACCATTGACACTGTGGATGCAGAGTCCAGTTCCCAAGTTACCGATAAAATATCGTTACACAATGGACTTCATCGCCTCCGTTCTTCGGACTCTTCCTCTATTCTGGAAGGGTTCGTGGGGCATCAACCCCGCATTCCGTCGCCGGTTAGCAGAGGTCTTGTACCTGGTATCTGGGCCGGGCCGTAAGGTTCGGGGACCTTTTGCGCCGAGATGAGCCAAGTTGCCAACGGCCACTTTCTCGGTCATTGCTTCCGCTGAAGAGGCAGGGATCGAGGTGTACCCTTATTATCTCAGAAACTCGGACCAGGGCGCTGCACGCTGGTATCTTATCGTTGCACTGGCTACTGTAAGGTGAATCTTGTTAGAGGTAGTGTACATAATGGGCGCAAGCCAGATAAATGTACAGTAGGCCACGGAGGTCGAACTATCCACATGAAATTTCAATCCAATACACCCGGTCAGGGTTGCCCTGCCAAAGAGAAGACGTCTGAGCCTCTGCAAAGGCACGATACAAAGCGGGTGTCCCCTACTGCGTACACCAAAACAGCCGTAACGGACCCCTGGGCGTGGTGTGGGCCCGCCGCTGCCAGCCTCTAGGTACTTCTACAAATTGAGATTGAATGTCGCGTTGTCACGCTCGCTCCTGGCTGCTGGGAACTCGAAAAGCTGCCACTTTACCTCAGTTGTATCTCCTTACGTGCGTACGTACCTCAACCTGCCCGCTGCACCTCACGCTCGCGCAACCCTGCTCATCTACCCTCGAGCCTTGCCTTCTGCCTTGCGCCCCTGTCCGCCTGTCAAGAAGACGACGGATTCAGCTGTCCGTTTTCATTGGATCCCGTAGGGCCACCTTGTTCTTTGCAAATGCAACTTCCACCTCCCACCTTCTCTCGCGTACGCCCGTGGTTCAAGACGTCTGTTGTCGTCGGTGTGGCCGAAGCCTTCTTTTTCATTCCCGTCACCAGTATTGTGCAAACACTCTATTACAAGGCAACGGGCAAGTTCGATCCCTCGCGTCTAACCGCCCAAGAGTACGGGAGACTTGCTCTTCACGGTACGTCATGAGGCTCCAGTCCATCCATCTCCGTCACTCCTAACAACATCAATCAATCTTTGAATAGGCCACGTCTGAGTCCATAACCACTTCGACCGGCCGCCATGGCCTCCACAACAGCAACCCCCGAGGCCACTCTACGCCAGAGGAACGTGCCAGCCTCGAGTAAGAAAGCCAAGAATGGCGTTTCCTCTGATGTCGAAACCGACAAGGTTCCGGATGCCGTCGCTCCAGCCAAATCCGGCTCCGAACTCGAATATAAACTTGCTCTTGTCCTCATCACCGGCTTGGCGTTCCTTACCAGATTCTGGGGCATCAGCCATCCCGATGAGGTCGTGTTCGACGAAGTCCATTTTGGAAAGGTACTTTGATGACCCGAGTGCACCGTATATCCACTGGCCATGGCTGACATGGGCCGTCACACAGTTCGCGTCCTATTATCTCGAGAGAACATACTTTTTTGATGTGCACCCTCCCTTTGGCAAGCTTCTCTTTGCCTTCATGGGCTGGTTGGTCGGCTATGATGGCCACTTCCACTTCGAAAACATTGGCGATTCCTACATCCGCAACAAGGTCCCTTATGTCGCCTTTCGCTCTCTTCCCGCCATTCTCGGTGCCCTCACCGTCTCGGTTGTCTATATGATCATGTGGGAGTCGGGTTATAGTCTTCCAGCTTGTCTGATTGCCGCCGGTCTTGTCCTCCTCGACAACGCTCACATTGGCCAGACTCGCCTGATTCTCCTCGATGCCACCCTGGTCTTTGCTATGGCGTGCAGCTTGCTCTGCTATATCAAGTTCCACAAGCTGAGGCACGAGCCCTTCTCCAGAAAGTGGTGGAAATGGTTGATCCTGACTGGCTTCGCCCTTTCTTGCGATATCTCCACCAAGTATGTCGGCCTCTTCGCTTTCATCACAATTGGTTCTGCCGTATGCATCGACTTGTGGGATCTTTTGGACATCAAGCGTCCCGGTGGCGCTCTGACTCTGCCCCAGTTTGGCAAGCACTTTGCGGCTAGGGCTTTTGGTCTGATCATCATGCCCTTCATCTTCTACCTCTTCTGGTTCCAGGTTCACTTCTCGATCCTCACTCGCTCTGGACCTGGCGATGACTTTATGACCCCCGAGTTCCAGGAGACCCTCAGTGACAACATTATGCTCGCCAACGCCGTCACCATTGATTACTATGACACCATCAGCATCAGGCACAAGGAGACCAAGGCCTACCTTCACAGCCACCCGGACAAGTACCCGCTGAGATACGACGATGGCCGTGTGTCTAGCCAGGGTCAACAGGTGACTGGCTACCCTTTCAATGATACCAACAACTACTGGCAGATCCTCCCCCCTGGCCCTGACGATCAGAAGCTCGGTCATCCCATCAAGAACCATGATCTCGTGAGGCTTCGCCACATTGTTACGGATACCATCCTGCTCTCTCACGATGTTGCTTCTCCTTACTATCCTACCAACCAAGAATTCACCACCGTCTCCATTGGCGATGCCTACGGCGACCGCGCGGCTGATACTCTTTTTGAGATCCGTATCGAGCATGGAAAGGCCAACCAGGAATTCAAGAGTATTTCCAGCCACTTCAAGCTGATCCACAACCCGAGCAAGGTTGCCATGTGGACTCACTCGAAGCCACTCCCGGAATGGGGTCACAAGCAACAGGAGATCAACGGTAACAAGCAACTGGCACAGAGCTCCAACGTCTGGCTTGTTGAGGACATTGTGTCTCTGCCCGCGGATCACGCGCGCCGTGAGAAGCCTGAGAAGAAGGTCAAGACTCTTCCGTTCCTGCGCAAGTGGTTCGAGCTGCAGCGGTCGATGTTCTGGCACAACAACCAGCTCACCAGTAGCCATCCTTATGCCTCTCTGCCGTACCAGTGGCCTTTCCTATTGCGTGGCGTGAGCTTCTGGACGCAGAACGATACTCGCCAGCAAATTTACTTCCTTGGTAATCCCATCGGATGGTGGCTCGCTAGCAGTGTCTTGGCTATCTATGCCGGAATTGTCCTGGCGGATCAGTTCTCGCTCCGCCGTGGGCTCGACGCCATGGATCGTCGTAAGTACCCTTGCACTCCTCGTTGTTATGATGACTGTGATTTGAAACATGAGGCTAATCTGGACATACTAGGTACCCGATCCCGCTTGTACAACTCTACAGGTTTCTTCTTCCTCGCCTGGGCAACTCACTACTTCCCCTTCTTCGTCATGGGCCGTCAGCTCTTCTTGCATCATTATCTACCGGCTCACCTTGCCTCGGCACTTGTTACTGGCTCGGTGGTGGAGTTCCTCTTCAGCACCGACTCAGCGGAGCCTGAGTACCAGCCCAGCAAGTCGGGTAAGAAGGTCGCTCCTACCACCAAGCGCCGCTTGAGTGCCCGCGAGCGTCTTGCTGGCCAGAGCATGGCTGGCGCCTGGATTGCGACTGCTGTCATCATGGTCCTTGTCGCCTTTGGCTGGTACTTCTTCTTGCCCTTGACCTACGGATATCCTGGGTTGACCGCTCCCGAGGTTAACCGGAGGAAGTGGCTGGGCTACGATCTTCACTTCGCCAAGTAGAGTGGACCCATTGTCACTTGACAAAACCATGCAGATGTGTGTGCACAGGAGAATGTGAGTGTACAGTAGAGTTGTGTTTGAGTGTGTAATAGGGTGAAAATGGGGAAAGTGGCAAGGTGGCGTGTAGGCGTTTCCAGTTCCAATCTGAGCACATCAATGTGCGGGCGAATATGGCATGCAAGGAAGATTTAGAGCTGGAATTGACCTCAAAGTCATGTTACCTTCCTATGTCTGATACGGATTTAGAGCCATTCTCACCTTAGATCAAAATTAAATCTGTTCGGTTACTGCAAGATCTCATGAATTAGTATATGCCTTGCTGGATGCCACACCACCTTGGGCTTGGGCACAATGTCACTTCAGCAATCACATGTTCTGAAAGTAAAAAAGTGGTTGTATTATATCATCAATGTTAGATTATTCCAACCACCTGTTCGTAACGAAGTCATCACAGGAACTCTCGAGGTGTCGGGGCACCAAAGCCCAGCAACTTCCAGAGCTTATCGTATGATATCTCTCCATACCATCTACGGCCGCCCAACTGTGGCGAAAATAACAACTCGACAATCTGTCTTTTTCAAGCAAGTTAGCTTGAGATGTTCTCGAACAGAACAAATAGATGTGGTCACCAGATATTTTGTGATGTGTTCGTATATTTCAGAAACCCAGTTTATAAGCACCACCAACCTCACCAACCACACTACCCCCCATCCTCCAGATACCCGCGAGCACATGACGATGCAGGCGTTTTCCCCTAAGAGAAGTGGCTTTCTGGGACAAGCTTTTTAGATAGCGGGCCAGCCAAGGGGTCCCCACCTTGTTGAGGAAGGAATAACCCGAGGAGGTTCATACGGCTCTTCCTATTACATATATGGAGGGTTGCAGCGCGAGCTGCGAAAATCATCATGATATACGGAGGGGGGTTGGATGGATATGATGAGGACCGGGAAATGGAGGACAGGGAGGAAAAGTAGAAACGTACCACTTGAAATGTTTGCTGAGGGGAGAGCCGGCTCGTGACGGGTTGGTTTGGGTACCTGTAGGAGGACTGGATGAGGAAGCAAGCAGAGGAAGATGAGAAGAGGGAGGAAAAGGCAGATTCCATAACGACCGCACCCGCTAAGCTGAGCGAGCTCTCGCGAGCAGGCCAAGCCACCGAGCGGTAAGCAAGTGCCGATTTCGATCCTTAATCGTTCATCATCTGTGCTTCCTCACACGCTCCATCAGACCCAATCCGATCCATTCGACCGACCGACTTCCCCGACTGGGATGGTACTAGTCCGTGATGGACAGACCACCCACAACCCCCCAACCGAAACTCCTTCAAGGCGCGCCGTGAGGCGTCATGCAGAATCTCTCATAGCATTGTGTCGATTGAATAAGTGGTCGATTAAGCCATCGGCCGTCCACGGTCGTTGCGTAGTGCGAGATAAGATCGCGGCGCTGTTGTGAAGAAGGACTTGTTCGGATCGCCAGCAGCCAAAGAAAAGAGAAAGATAAAAAAAAAAAAAAAAAATTGAAACGAGCGAGGTCGGGAGGAAAAGTTTGTAAGAGGTGCAAAAAAGTGGCTCATGCTCTAAGCTAGGAAAGACCCCACCACAAGTTGCAAGGACTGGAGCTTCGTGCACGGATCATAACGATCGAACGTAGCAACGCTTTTGGTAGGGACGATCCCCTGCCGCTTCGGCAGCCGCTATTAGTACATACAGTAATGTCCCCTGTTAATGCAACTAATGCCGGAAGCCGGATTTCTTAGCAAAAAGGGGCTTTGGGGAGTTAGCATTTTAGCAGGAGACATAACTGTGCTGTAGGGTTCTACCGCTGTGAAGCACGGGTAAGGTAACGGCGACAAAACGACCGTCAAGTCCGGCCGGGAGAATCGGGCGTGCAGGGGCAATGCTGGCTGTAAATCATTGGTATTATGATAGTTCAGGTTAGGAACTTGAGTACGGCGAGGAAGCAGAAATGAACAATATCAGCAAGGGAAAGCACATGAAATTGACACAGGTCGAGAAAAAGGCAACGCATTTGTCATCAACGGCTATGGAAGAGACTGAAGATATAAGTGCAGTTCACGGTCGAATACCACCCATGTAGAGTTTCTAGCACGCAACACGGTTTGATTCAATCAGTGAAAGTGTGTCAAGTGGGAAGGAGGGACTGAGTTTGCCTAAAAGAAATACTATAACACCACAACAAACACACCGACCTCTGCCCTTCCTTCGCAGTTTCGTTTTTGCATCTGCCACTCTCAAATCCCACTTGATCAACCGTAGGCTCGCATTCATGACATCATAATATAACACAGAAGGACACAGGTCCTTAAATCGCTAAACCCCATTCAAACTCGCTGATAAAATCATACCCCAGCCCACCTCCAGTAATCCACTGAGTAGAATTGACTGTCATATTCTCTTTTACATCTTAGTTTTGGTATCAGCAGTGCACCCAAGGTTCCAACCGGTACTCTGTGGATGGATGGGCCCAGGAACCTCCGAGTCCAGTCGCGCGCATAGAGCTTCATGATACAGTGAATTGCGTTCTCCCCAACTTGTATGATTTAGAAGTAAGCATTCATATCATGCGAAGTCCAATCACTTTGGTAGGCGTGCAGGATGTCCTGAGATGATGGCTGGGAATAGCCGGCAGCCATGCTCGGAATGTCCACGTTCGTGAAAAGTGATTCAGTGAATGTGGGTTTTGAGTAGGCGTCAGTGGTTGGAGGATACAAAATGAAGTCTCCAGGGACATTATTGCAATTACTCATGGCAAAATCGTGATCCTCAAAGCCCTCATCAACTTCCCCCAATGAAGTAGGGGGTGTGAAAAGCATCGTGTTTCCTTGCCCAATGGGGGAAATATGGGCGGGATGTGGCTGGCAAAGGTCGGGCGCGGTGTACGCGCCGAGATGCTGTCCCATGTCTTTGAGGTAGAAGGGAGAAATGACTTGGTTGGGCAGTTGCATAGTCGCACCGTAGATGTCATCAATGAGCGTGAATTCGTTGAGATCTTGATACGCAGAATTGTGGTCCATGCCAGAATCCGGTGACGGGGTGCCGTTGTCAATGGGTGAATAGTCAAGCTCAAGCTGCTGTGGGATGGTGTTGAAGTTGAACTCGGGAGCATATGCAGGGAACTCAATGTTGGTCTGGTACAGCCCAGCGTTCCAATCATCGGAGGGAGTGGCGATGCTCATACTGCGGTCGCTCGAAGGGGTACCAATGTTCTGCAGCTGGGGAGTGGGGTGGCCGGAATCGGGCCCCAAGCTGGGAAGCGTACTAGGCTTCTTGCCATTGGTTTTGGTCCTAACGTACGTCCAGCCATGGGCCTTTTCCATATGCTGCTTGCAGTTGGACTCGCGCTTGGACTTGTAGGGGCAAGGCTTGAAGAGGCACTCGTACATAGGTGGGGCTGAGGAGTGCTTGTCGTTGTGATGACGATCCATTTCCTTCTCGGTGGGCCAGCCGTACTCGTGGTACTTGCATGTCTTGACCGGGCACTTCCATGGTCTAGAATGTGTCTTCTCGTGCTTGGTCAGGTCACAAGGGCGCTTGAACTCCTTGTTGCAACCAGGCTCGCGGCATCTCTTCGGCGCCAGCTCCTCAGGGCTGGCGTTCTTCTTTCGGCGAGCCATGGAGCGCATAACCTCCTCTTCATCCAGGGCCTCCTCGCTTTGGGAGCGCTTGAAGTTTACCGGGGTTTCTGGCGCCTTATCACAAAGGTCCACAGGCAATCCAGTAGCCAAGGAGATGGCCTGTCCGTCCTTCTTCACGCGGACCAGTTCCGAAAGCCTGCCGTTGATGTGAGGGCCACCGTGTATCTTGATTTGATCAGTGCTAAAGTAAATGTCAGCGCAAGCCGCACAGTTGCAGGAGAAGAGGGAATCGTACGGATCAATATCCATGTCATTGGCGCCTTCCTTGGTCTTGTTGCTTTCCGCGATCTGCCGAGCATAGTTGTAGAACTGATCAACGAGATCAACAAAATAACCGTTGGTGTAAGGGAGGTCGCGAGGGCGAGTCAGCTCGCGGTCGCCAAGGTGCTGGACAGTTGCCTGGAGGCAGTCGATTGTCGTCAGACAGAAATCGAGGTATGAGCCTGCAGCTTTGGTCCTCTCCTTTGACAGTAGCGAACGGTAAGTATTCATCCTAACATCCAAGGGATCGTTAAATTCGCTTACCGGAGCCATGAGGATCAAAGTCTTCTCAAGATCTCTTAGGCACATGATCTCCTTGTTCTGGATCTTTTTGGGACACTCAAGCACAAGCGAGTGAAACTCTTTCAAAGTCGGCTTTGCAAGCAGAGGCTTCAAAATGTATTCAACGATGCGGTTGGTAGCACGGTCACCAAGGCCCAGAAGATCAGGTGTTGATGCTGCGCGGGCGGTGGCGGATCTGGCGACAGCCGAAGTCCTCGTCGTCTTGGCCTTGGAAGAGGCATCCTTCTCGGAAGTAGAAGCAATCGAGCTTCCTAGACCGCTGTCTGAATCGTGGTGCCGAGAAGAACGGCGTGTCCGTGGACGGAGCATCCGGCGCTCAGGCTCAACCTCCTTGGGCATGATAGGCGAATCCAAGTTTCTTTCAAGCAGCCCACGAGGCGGGGGAATACACTTGTCACTGCGACTAGCCGAGGCAAAGGTGTCATTTGAGGAGGCCAATTGCCTCTCGATCGCATCCAAAGCTAAGGCAACGCGGCGACAGCGGGAGTCGATAACATCGTCCAAGTTGGTGTGGGAGCGGCGAGGGAGCGACGGCGGGACGAAGACGCGCTCAGAAGAATCCCCCGAGGCTGGAGTAGTGGGAGAGTGGAAGGTAGCTCCCTTTTGTAGGAGCATGTTCGTCTTGAGGGTCAGTCCACCCGCTGGTCTCCTGCGAGGGTTCGACATGTTTGCTGAGTTGTGTGGAGTTGATGGGTTATGTTGTCGACTGTTTTCTCTGGTCAGTCCGTGAACTCTCGAAAGCTTGCAAAGTCAGGAGGGGCATGGGAGACCGAGGAACGTCGTGTGAGTCACAGGGAGCGGCAGTATGCTACACCGGATGCATCATAACGACATCCCACACTTCGCTTTACCCCTATCAAGACGAGGCAGGACAGGATTGGCCAAGGACTGTGGAGGTAGACGTCGGGGCGGGATAGATGCCAGCAGGCGGGTTTTATCTTACTTTGATGAGATGGCACGAGCTGACAAATACCTGGCAGCCCGGCGACTTTGACCTGAGTCTGAGATATCTTGGAATCCCGGACGTCAAGGCTGGTTGTTGGGTTGAGGCGCTGGCGATAGGATCACGATAGCAGGCGATGGAGGCGGCGATCGGAACAGGAGAAAGATGGATCGTGGAGAAAGGTGCGGTAGCGTAGAGTAGTGGAATTGGAAAGAAACCTAGGAAGGGCTGGGTATCGGGTTGGTATTCAGGCTTGGTATCAATAGCAGGCTGTGTTTGCTGTACTTGGCTAACACGTCGGGTATGTCGTTCAAACTGTGGTGAATGGGGACAATAGCAGTGATCAAGTCTAGTCCGGATGACCCGGGGCAGAACACCGGACGAGAGCAACAGGCAGGAAGAACCTGGGTAGAGTAAAAAGGTTCAAGGGAGGATGCTGTGGTGGATGGCTAGGGAGGAAAATGGATCGTGAACGGGAAGCGAACCTGACGGTCACAGAGTCGAAGCTGGGGAGAGGATGGGTGATGAGAAATGGAGAATGGAGCGAGGCCGAACGTTGCTGCCTGCTGACGGACTAGGGTCCGGGTGGGTCAAGCGGCGCAGCTCCACGCTAGCGTCCCCGCCATTGGATGGAAGTGGTTGAGCGCGGATCCTTCCTTTTGCTCTTGCCCACGCCAACACCTGTGCTTGGGCTTTTTGCCTTGGGGTGTTCACGGTGCCAATGCCACACTCGATCTCTTTTTATGGCAACCCCTCTATCCCGTCACTCTCGCTCTCGAGTCTGTCTTCCCTTCTCGTTGGCACTGCTGCACCTCCCGCTTTTCTGTTGCAGAGGCTGTTTGCTGCGGCGTTGGTTATGGTATGTGATGTCAGTTAGGTGATGTTAAAGTGAGACATTGACGGCGATATATCCGCTGTGCTTACTCTGCCGACCAACAGCCAATTGCATTCAAGCAAGCATCTCAGCTCCACCGCAGTGTGTCCCTTGATTATCTGATGACCAACCCCCCAAAAACCCATGTCAGCCCTGTCTGGATGCACCTCATCTCGGGACCACACGCGTCTCCCGGAAGTCTTCCACTAGCAAAGCCAATCTTCGCAACGAAGACTTTTGGCAGGGCTATTAGGTACTGTACAAGACCTGGGAAAGTCGGCAATCGGCATGCGAACGATGCCAACGGTGAGCACTTCTGCGCGTATTCACACCTCACCTTCCAACCAAGAGCAGCCAAGATCTCCTGATGCAGTCGACTTCTTTGTCTGCTGCCCGTTTGTCATTCTGAATTTTCCGTTACTGGGGACGCGTAGGGTTCGACAACAAACGCTCAAAGGAAACCAGGATTCTGTTGCTAATGGCCACCGGCCGAGTTCTTGAACACGTAGACAATTGGACGGCGGAATTCTGGGACATCCCTTTTCCCCCACGGCCACTTATCTATCCATAACCCACATCCTCCCAAGCAAAGAGAAGGTGAAGGCGGCGCAGGACATCGCCGCAATCAGTGTTGTAACAGTGACTACAGTATTTAATGGGTTCCAGGAGTGTCGGTTGTGAGAATGCGCAGCATATGCGCGCGCTCCTAGTGTACATCGTGGTGTAACATCGCGAGTGTCTTGCTGGCTGTCTGGTAAACCCCAGGCGCTGAGCCACCGCGATGGGCGGGCACGAAAGTCGGCGTACCACATCATGATAGGAAGCCGGGTCCGCCCCTGTGAGAAGTTCCGAGTCTGATTTGCTGACGGGCCAAATTTCTTAGTGCCATCCAAACATGGAACGTTTGTCTGCGCAATAGGTACCTATGGTATCATGCAAATCTACCCCACTCCCCAGTAGAACTTTGCATATCGATACCTGGAGCTACAGGTACACTGACAGGGGTGAAACTGGGCCCCCAATCTGAGCCGCTGCGTCTCGAACTCTTTGCCCCCAGCATTGAAAGATGAAGAGGACAGATTAATTCACAGACGACCATTATCGTACTGCTTTCCACTTTTCTTCTCGTTATTGTCATTACTGTGAGCCTTCTGTGACAAGATGCTCTCTGTCTAAACTCAGACATTGGGTATGGCATTCAGGTGGCTCAATATGTAGTCCTGGGGCTATCCCCAGACCAGCTATCTTGAAAATGCTGAACTACCCAGCTTCTATCTCTTGGATGATCTAGAGGCCGCACGCCGCGGTGAGCCAAGTCGTGAAGCTTATTGGTAGTGTACAAGGACGACGTGTGCGCACCTAAGCTTCTCCCCTTTATGATCTAACTCCACCATGATGATACCCCACCGAGCACCCTTCAGCCCTATGGACTATCATCGAGTTAGACTTCACGACACATGTAGGACACTAACTGAAGGCCCTGACATCCGGTCTACTTACATACGCATCTACAGCAGGACAAATTATCCTTACAGCCGTCCGGCTGACACTCGAAGGTGCGGTCTATGCACCGGGTGGATAAAAGCTACAATTTCGCTGGGATTCCTGGGCTTCTTCTCAACCACAACAACCATATTACCTAAAATTCATCACTTTCTTTTTGGAAACACCTCTGCCAGGATGGAAGAAAGAAAAAAGGTTCAATTCTTGCAGTTTTCCAGCTCGGGTCAGGGGCAAAGACAGATTCTTGCAGAAGGGTAGCCCGGCAGAGGTGTACAGCCGATGTATACGTATGTTGTCAAATGCACGTGCCGCAAAGACTTGAGCCCTCCGTTTTCAGCTGACAGAACTTAGTCGCATCATCAGTACATTCGAGGCACCTCTTAGCATTGCAGACTGCTCCAGCTTCTTCCCAAACACAAACCCTGACGCACCTAATACGTAGAATTGTTGTCAGTTAGGCCCTGTTAGCCGAAAACAAAGGGCTTGAGTCTTTTCGGTACGTTCACCACTAATAATCCGCTTGCAGAGGTCTCAGAGCGTGTATATTTAGAGGTATTGACGATAGAGAGTCTAAAGAACTGGAAACGTCCAGATACACATTCTGTTTACCTAAATTCAGCCCCATAGTCTCCTATGTATCAATCCGGTAAGGCTTGGATCTCGTCAACTGGAGATCCTGGTCTAGCATTTTTATGTCTGAATATCCGCGTCCTTGATTGAGACTGTTGGATATCGCATGAGAAGTAAACGTCTTACACAGGGTAGCAACGGTAGGGGAGAGCATGGGGTTCGTCATCGCTTGACGTTACAGGACACCGACTATATGAACCTATTGTGGTTATCCCGACGAACCACTTACTTGTTCTCGGCTTTAGACTGCGACTAAGTGAATCAAACGACGTATCAAGCGACTGATCTAACTCTCAGGCAGCTATATTCTTCGACGGGTGGAAGTGTTCATCACCAGACTCTGGAAGCGAAGAAAGGCACTGATTAATGGGGGTGGAGAATGTACCTAGATTGTGAACCGTGAACATTGGCGAAACTGGGTGTACCAATGCTTCCGTCTAGGTCTGCTCTTAATTTTCTCTGTCTCTGCCTAGAATGACAAGAGAAAGCTTCTCGAGTTGTAATCCAGTCGACATTGCACCGATGTCAGCATTTGGGGGCCATCCCGCCTGAACCCTTGAACATCGAGCTTATACGGCCCTTTACATGTCTGTTGAACTCCTCAACAGGCAGCATTTGTAGTGCTTCACTGTACAGCCCGTAGGAGCCTGAGCGCTTGACGCTCCTGTGCCTATTTTGTTGTTTGCTTTCGGGCTTGTTCGGTCTTGTTTACGCTGCTTCTGCTCTAGGACAGTCCAGCCGTAACTCTTGGTTGTCAATGTAGCCTTTCTCCGGGCCACATTCTCTAACATGCAGCCGCGCATCTGGCAGACCATGCATCGACTGTGTTTGACGCTGTGAAGGATATCGTACGGCTTCTTCCAGTGAGAGGAGAGGAAAAACCAGGCACCAATTTGGCTCACCAGTTTCACGCCTTCGGCGGTTTCTTTATAGTTAGGTGCTTTGTGTTGAGACCAGGGGGAAAACCAAGTCCAACCTGCTAGTGACTCTTGGACGGGTTTGTCTTTTACGGCCTTGGTGAGTTTCATTTTCGCCCAAACGTTCGTAGGCGAAGTAGAAGGAGACGAGCTTAAGGTGATGTGGGATGGCTGAATAAATGGGCGCCATGGAAGGACCTAGATCATGGATTACATCAAGAATAGCAACTTTGCTGACGAAGAGAGTTGTTTGTTTCATAATGCCCTTGAGCAACTGTCAACAGATACCGATGATAAAGAAATATGTCCAGGTCAAAAACCCGTGCCGCTCTAAGACGACAGACATTTTTATAAGTGAAGAATTTCTTTGTCGTCATTACGATTTCTTGTAAAACAAAGGTGAGATTTTATACTCTGAATCTGCGTTTTTTCCATTGTTCGATTTGCGTTTCCGTGGATTATGCATCCGATGTTCCAAAGAGGTTCCAAGTCAGCCTCTAGGTTCCTATGACACTTCACCACCATTGTTCTCCCTCAAACGCACGCCCCTTAACAGGTACGAGGACATTTTGACGCTACTAATAGGACAGAGGATTTGCGCAAGACAAACGTACCTAATCCTGATCGACCAAGATAAGTACCTTCACATAAAAATACATCCGCCAGACATTCGCATACAATATTTCTTAACCCTCAACCACTTGAACTCGAATGCTCGTAAATCCATAAAAGAATGATTCGGCACGTCATATGGTGAATGCGGAAATACTAGTTGCAGGTTAACAGCCATTCAAAGATATGGTATGAGGTGCACGCCGTTACCCAAGTTCCGCCACGTTGGGCGTGTTACTGGGAAGAGACGCCCATGGTGTAGCCTGGAGCAAGTGAAAAGAAATGCACAAGCGAGCCAGCGAGTTATCTTATCACCGCTTCCCACCACATCTGACGTTTTTCGTGATTGCAATATTAGGTTCCCGATCCACTCGGATCGCATCCTTCCGCTCGGTCGAGCGTACTACTCGAAGAACCGAAGGACTTCACACAGGGTTTCGACATTGCTGAAACCGAACAAGCAACGTACGAGGCATACTCTGCCGCCTTTTACACCAGTTCCGATGTCGAAAGGCGGCAGACAAGAAAAGCAGATCACACAAACGACTCATCAGATTTCCAGAGCTTCTAGCTCTCTTCATCTTCCTCCCCATCCTCTGCTCACTTGCCATCCTCCTCATCTTTCTCCTCCTCCATCATTTTCTCCTCACCCTCCACAGTTCACACTCACTACCTCTCCCCAACCGGCCTCTCCACCCTAAACCGCATTCGCACCCATCTCTGTCTCCCGCCTGATTTTCCACCGTCGCATTTGATCGTCCATCTTCTCAGGCGATGGGAAGGAACTCGAACCACTGTAGCAGAGAAACATGCGGAACTGGCCGCACAAGCTAACGCATTGGACGGGAGTGGAGTAGCATAGGAAGAACCGGTAGAGTTTCTTCCCTATGAGGAAGAGGATGTGCTGAATCCGTGGGCGCGAGCTCAGAGGGATATGGAAAACAAGAGAATGTGTCCCCTTTTGGGGGGTTAAGGATATCGGAGAATATGGGGTAGGTAGGAGTTGCCCAAGTCAAGGACATGCATGGGGTGAAGGTGACGTGGGATCAAAGAAAGACGGAGGAGGAATAAGGTCGTAGGTACCTACCTCTACACATACGAACCGCCTGGGTCATCCGGAGTGGGGCCAGAGCACCCCACCATCTCCCGTCATAACACATCACCAGTGGGTCTGTTCAACTCGCACCTGCTTCTTGAATTCAAGTCTTGCGCTCTCTTGGCTCTCTTTCTCATCGAGATGCCACACGAACTGGAAGTTACGCTTTACCGTACACCTACATATTTGAGGACTGCCGAAGACGGTAAAACGGCAGGCGCGCTGCAGCACTTTGAACTCACCAATGCGGCGGCCTATTGGCCACAATGACCGGACTGTTGTCGTCATCGATATTGACTTCTGCCTCTTCCAGCAACAGGCCCATACGTCATAGGCACAGGTAAAGTAAACAAAAGAAGCTGAAGCTCCCGAAATGATTCATGAGCACACATTTTCAATTACCTGAATCACTTCAACTCTCTGCAATCACCTAATCACAGGGAATTAATCAAAGAACCCAAGCCGAAAGCCTTAGCTGAATCACCAGAAACACGGAAAAGAAAAATTCCAAAATGACAGACAAGGGACAATTCGAGAGTGGTGAGTTTCTTCCATGAGCATTGACTTGATGCGTCGCTGCAACGAACATGCTCTGACGCACTCGGGGTTTTCGACAACAGGCCACAACATCCCGGTCACTCATCAGAGCTTCCCCGGCAAGGAGACCGCGATGCCGAACCCGCAGCCCCTGTGGGATGAGATTCCTACCGCTGACGGGAAGAGCCAGAAGTACCGCGCTGCCGGAAAACTCAAGGGCAAGAAGGCTATCATCACCGGAGGGGACTCTGGCATTGGGCGCGCGAGCGCCATCCTCTTTGCCATGGAGGGAGCCGACTCAGTCATCGCATATCTTCCCGAGGAGGAGGAGGATGCGCAGGAAACCAAGAGAAGGGTCGAGGCGTACGGTCAGAAGTGCCACTTGGTGTCTACGGATCTTCGCGACAGGGAAAACTGCAAGAAACTGGTTGATGAGGCTGTCAAGATCTTCAATGGCCAAATCGACATCCTTTTCAACAACGCTGCCTACCAGATGGTAGTCGATGACATTAAGGATCTGTCAGAGGACCAGTGGATCAACACCTTCAACACCAACATTCACCCCTACTTCTACCTGGCCAAGTATTCTTTGCCATACATGAAGCGCGGAAGCACTATTATCAACAACGCCAGCATCAACGCCTACATCGGTCGTCCCGACCTTCTCGATTACACATCCACCAAGGGCGCAATCGTGGCCTTCACTCGCGGCCTGAGCAATCAGCAGGCTGGAAACGGCATCCGCGTCAATGCTGTTGCCCCCGGACCCGTTTGGACACCTCTCATCCCATCAACCATGAAGGGGGAGAACCAGGAGCAGTTCGGATCCACACCCTTGGGTCGTCCTGCTCAGCCCAGTGAGGTTGCTACTGCAGTTGTCTTCTTGGCCAGCGAGGATAGCAGCGCTTTCAGTGGGCAAACGTTGCACCCCAACATGGGAACTGTCGTCAGCGGTTAAGTCAATAACGGCGGTTAGTCACGAAGAGAGGTTTCGGATGAGTCGACGTTGCATTATCACAGGCTGTGATTCATGAGGAAGGGTGGATAAGACATCCTGAACGACACGGAACTCAATTGTTTGAGGAAGCGCAGACGGAATGAGAGGTATCAGCATTCACAGCGACACCTCTTGATGGTTTCGGTCTGATTCAACTCCCATCGGAGATCCACATCGATGCATACTCAAAACATCCAATTGGTATTGCCCTCGGATAGTGAAGAGTACCAACAATTTTCATTCACTACGATCTTAGAAGACCATGGGCTGGCCCAATCAATAGAAGGTTTATTTAATACCACTGCTGTCTTGACTCTGATTTTACTAGGATACGACAGCCAACATGACCACTGAGCAATCCCACCAACACATGTCCTATGTTTTTAGCATGCTGATTGATGCACCTTTCCCAGCCGTAATCAATATAGGAATACCCGTATTGGTTGCACTGCTTACAGTTCCGACTTTCAAATACCTGCTTGCCAGGAAGATGAGTCTTGCGAGAGAATATGCGCCTTTGAGTGGAGGTGTGGCCGATGCAGCACACTATCAAGACCGGAATGGTGACGCAACAGAGGCATCGACAAGGGCCTTTGTGGATTCCCGCTCTATGCTCACACTTTGGTTAGGAGTGCTGACAAATTTGGGAGCATCCATTACGGTCCAACTGATACCCGTCTTGAACTCTCGAGACTCCAGGGCGATCTTTGTCGATATATCCAAGCTCTCGTCATGGGAAGAGATTTTGTTAGCTGTATGTACCATCATATCAAGACCAGCACTACCAAGTTCGGACAAGGATCAATGAGCTTAACTCAGTTGTCCAGGGACTCTTATGTTTACAGTGCGCCTTTCTCCCGCCCAAGAATGACTACCATACAAGGTTTCGTATGACTATCCTCGGCTTGGTCTCTTCATTGCTGCTGACAGGCTTGCTGTCCTTCAACCATGGCTTCAAGGTGATTGGGTTGCTCATCGGAAGGGAAATCAGCGGCAAGATCTCGGCATTTCTACATGGGATCCAACTTTTGTCAGTTTTCGTGGTGGCGGTGGCCTTCGCTTCGTTTCCTCGACGCCCAGATATCTACCATAAGCAACAGGTTGTTGACCAGCAAAAGGCGGTGTCACTCCTATCTCTACTGTCATTCTCCTGGAACCTTAACATTTTCAATGCCGCCAAAGAAAGGCAACTGGAACCCGCCGATCTGCCCAGATTGGAGTTCATCACGCGTTCGCAAAACATACAAAAGAATTTTACCGAGAACATAAAGCCGGGTCGTTTCTGGCAACAATTGTTCAGACTTTATATGCGCAACCTGGCACGTCAATGGGCCTTGGCCTTGTTGATTGCCATCTTGTCGATATTTCCTCAGCTTGTACTCTACAGCTTCCTTTCCAAGATCGAAAAGGGAACCCAACATTCGCCCAGAGACCCCATGTTGTTAGTCTGGGCACTTGCTTTGTTTCTCACACAAACACTGCAAGTTGGTGCCACGAATTGGCTGAAATGGATTACCGAAAGCCGAATGGATATTCCCCTTGAGTCGTTAGTGCAGACTCTGGTGTTCGCCAAAGCTCTCAGGCAATACGCAGGACAAGACAGTGATGGGTCCTTGAAATTATCCGGGCAGAATGGGAGCGCAAATGGTAACGGTCAGCCGGGCACTATCCTCAAACCCAAAAAGAGGAGGGATGGGGAGATGGGACAATCGGCCTACAACCTATTGAAGGTTGATAGGTGAGTGACATGCGCCTTCCAGTTATCCATCGATCTACACAGAGTTCTCGAGTTCTGACGCCCCAGTCAATGTAGTTCCCGCGTCACCAATTTTTGTCAGTGCAACAGCGACTTGCCCATGGCCGCTTTCAAGCTAGCTCTTGCAAGCGCCTTCCTTATCCGTTTGATGGGATGGCTCCCTGTCCTCTCCGGGCTTACTGCCGCGAGTCTGACCATCCCTCTCAATCTCCACCTGTCACGAAAGCAACGAGACCAGAACTTTGGTTTGATGCGAGTCCGAGATTACAAAGCGCATTTGCTGGCCGAGGCGCTATTGGGAATGCGCCAGATCCGGTACTCGGCCCTTGAGGACTTCTGGGAGGACAAGATCCTGGCAAGCAGAGACGACGAGCTCAAGCAGTACTGGAGAGTGGCACTCGGGAAATGCCTAATCTTCTTGACTGTTAATATTGCACCATTGTTATTAGCCAGCGTTGCCTTCACGGTGTATGTATGGCAGCAAGGATCCCATATCAAAGCCTCAGTCATCTTCACAGCCCTCGGCTTGTTTGACCAGCTGGACGACGCAGTGTCACTTCTACGAAAGGTACAGGTCAACCTACTTGAAGCGTGGGCAAGTGTCTCGAGACTGGACAAGTACTTTGGCCGTTTGGACAAGCAAGTGGTCACTAAGCCAGGGAGTCTGATTGCTTTCGAGGACGCTACTGTAGCTTGGCCCCGACCTGAAGATACTGACGAGGTCGGCGATGCTCAAGCACCACCTCGAGGAGCACATACCATGCTCAAAGATATCAACGTGAATTTCCCGCCCGGTGAGCTCAGTGTCATTGCGGGCAAAACTGGTTCGGGAAAAAGTCTACTGCTCGCTGCAATTTTAGGCGAAGTCAAGCTCATAGCGGGTGACATCTACGTTCCTTCTGCCCCGGAGCCTAGCGAAGACGAGAATATTTCGGACCAAGACTGGATCATACCCTCCCTGACGTGCTTTGTATCCCAGACTCCATGGATTGAAAGCGGCACAGTCAGGGACAACGTTCTCTTTGGCCTCAAGTTCGACCACCTCCGCTACCGCAAGGTTCTCTGCGCTTGCGCCCTTGAGAAGGATCTGCAGCTTTTGGCTGACGGTGACCAAACAGAAGTTGGACCCAAAGGCGTTTCGCTGTCCGGCGGACAAAGATGGAGAATAGCCCTCGCCCGCGCCCTATATTCGCGAGCGGGCATTATCGTGATGGATGATATCCTGAGCGCTGTGGATACGCATGTGAGCAGGCTGATCGTGGGGGAGGCATTGACGGGAGAGTTAGCCGTCGGAAGAACAAGAATTCTTGCGACTCATCATGTCGATCTTGTTCGCCCGTACGCGAGCTGTCTGGTGCGTCTGAGTAGCGGACGCCTCAAGTCTGTCGTGTACAAGGCTCCCGAAAGCCAGAACATAAGACCTGCCACATCAATGCTCGAACCTGGGAGCCTAACGTGGACTCGGCCTGATGGTAACGGAGCAGCCTCGTCCTCCAGTTCGACCGCGAGGGTTACAGAAAGGAGACAAACTGGCGAGGAGAAGAGAGCTGTTGGATGGGTCAAATGGGACGTGTACAAGGCATATTATGAGGCCAGTGGTGGTGCCCTGAACTGGGCTCTAGGCATGGCCGTGCTCTTTCTTGGTCACGTTCTGGGTATCATTCGTACATGGAGTCTCAAGGAACTTGCTCAAAGGGCGTCATCCGTTGAAGCAAATTCACAGACATCGTCTACAACCCAGTATCATCAAACATACTGGCAAATGACTTTTGGATACGTTGCTGGCCATCATATGCCTTGGAGTTCTAAGCTCTGTATCCGCTTTTGTAAGTTCCGGGACAAGGATACAGGCCATGCTAAAGAAGTGTAACTAACTTGATGTCATAGGGATCTCGACATATGTTCTAGTTTGCTTCCTCGTCGGTGCGTCCCAACTCATCCGCGATATTGCCTTCACTCTCATCGGAATGCGAGCTTCCAAGAAGCTATTCGAACAGCTCACACATACGATCCTCCGTGCGCCTATCCGATGGATTGAAACTGTACCAGCGGGCCGTGTATTAAACCGCTTCAGTTCGGACATGTCAGTCGTCGACAAACCGCTGGCCACCCCGACGTTTACGTTCCTACAAGCAGCCCTACTACTGATGATCATCGTCGTGACATGGTATGTAGTACCCATCGTTTTTTGTTGCATGATGTAATGTTATACACACAGAATGGATTCAGCTAACCTGTCCTACACAGTTCCTCCGTCTCGCTATACGTCCTCTTCTTTGTCATACTCCTTTTTGCCCTCTACGTTTATATTGCAAACTACTTCATATACGTCGCGAGAGAGGTCAAGCGCCTCAAGTCCGTCTCCAACTCCCCAATCTACGACCAGTTCAGCTCCGTGCTGTCCGGATTAACGACCATTCGCGCCTTTCAATGCACTCAATCGTACACCAACAACATGTACCAATTGATTGACGCCAACAGCTCCGCAAACTGGGCACAGCAACTCTTGAAGAGATGGATGGGTTTTCGCATGGGCATGCTCGGCGCCATCTTCGTCACCATCGTGGCCAGTGTCGTAGCACTGGGTGGTGTAGGCGCTGCGCGCGCGGGATTCAGCTTGTCTTTTGCCTTCCGTTACACGTCCGCGCTAACATCTTTACTAGAGGCCGTGGCAGCGCTGGAATTGGGGTTTAGCTCCTGCGAGAGGGTGTTGGAGTACATCGAGGTTGAGCGTGAAAGCGAACAGGGTCTGGACGCCCCTGCAGCCTGGCCAGCGGATGGGAACATCAAAGTCGAAAATCTCACGGCCTCGTATGCCTGCGATCTTCCTCCTGTCTTGTCCGATCTCAGCTTGACCGTTGGAGCCGGCGAGCGGGTTGGGATTGTTGGCCGGTCGGGCGCTGGCAAGTCGACGCTTGCCTCTGTTCTTTTCCGTCTTCTTGAACCCAGCAGAGGCTCGGTCCGCATTGACGGCCTCGATATTTCGACATTGAAGCTAAAGCAGCTGCGAAAAAGTCTCGTCATTATCCCCCAAGATCCATTCCTCTTCTCGTACGCATATGAAATTGACTTGTTACACCTTTTGATGTGGATACTGATGCATTCCGTCAATAGAGGCACCCTACGTTCCAATCTAGACATCGAAGGCCGTCTAGATGATAGCGAGATATACGACGCCCTACGTAGTGTCAACCTAATTGGTTCAACCTACAACAACATGAGTTACCCACCATCTTTTTACACTCCGGTCATGGGACCCAGCACGGCCGTCTCTACCCACCCAAACACGGCTACCACCACACCGCTCCTGGCACCGATTGTTGTCCCCCAAACCGTTGACTTCACCGTCGAGCCCGCGGCCGAAGAAGTCGACATGTTCGACGACATCTACACATTGGGTGACAACCGCGTCCAAATTACCCCTTTCGTTCTCGACACCAGCGACATTGACCCCCTCAACCTCCACACTTTTGAGTCACATCCCGAAAATCCAACACCCGTCACCTCCATCCTCGAAGTCGAACAAACTCCCACATCCGAGCCCGCATACATACTCGAACTCTCACCAACAGAAGAAGAGCCCATATCCCCACCTCCCGTAACCCTTCCAGCCCCTCTGCTCCCTCTTCCCCCCTCCCCAGCCATCTCCGCCACAACCACAGCTACCAACGACACCGCCCCCGATAGCCACCGCATCAACCCTTTCACCAACCTCTCCCACCCCATCATCACAGGCGGGTCCAACCTCTCGCAGGGCCAGCGACAGCTCGTCTGCCTCGCGCGCGCTTTGCTTACCCGCCCCAAGATCATGGTTCTGGATGAGGCCACGTCGGCCATTGACCAAGCGACCGACGCAGCCATCCAGCGTTCGCTGCGCAAGTGCGTTGAGAGTACCGGCACCACGGTGCTGGTGATTGCCCATCGGCTGTCGACGGTGGCCGACTTTGATAAAATCCTTGTGTTGGACAAGGGGCGGGTGGTGGAGTTTGGGGCGCCGCGAGAGCTGGTGGGGAGGGGGATCGAGAGGGATAGGGAGAGGCATAGACAGGATGATGGTGGTGATGGTGGTGGCGCTAGTGATCACGGTGCGAGGCTAGCGGAAAGAAGTGTTGGTAGTAATGACTATTTTGGTGATGACGAATGTTCGGAGGAGGACATGGAAGATGCAGATACGAGTACGTTTTGGGGGCTGGTGAAGAAGAGTACGGAACGGAATAGGTTGGTGGAGATGATTCTGGGGGAAGGTCACTAAAGCCAGCAAGAAGCCTCATACAAAGGCACCTGCGCAGTTGGGCAAAGTAGAGGTTGGGAAGGAACAAAACACGAGAAGGAAACTAAGCGAAAGTCAGATTAAATGGTATCCGATGAGGCTGGGCGGAAATTACCATGGGATTAGCGATGCCATTAAAGCCTTGCAAGGTTGAATGCAATAGAATTTTCGCAACTAATTAATGATTGAATGTCATAATGGCAATGCAGGGTATTACGCTAGACATTACATAATGTCTATGTTAAGAATCTTGATATCCTCCACTGGCTTGTCCTTGTGTGTCTTGACGTTCTCGATGCGATGAATGACATCCAAACCTTGGACACCGCGACCAAAGATCGTGTGCTTGTTGTCAAGCCATGGCTGTTCTCCAAGTTAGTATTGAGTCCTACCGGTATGGGAGCATCTGAGCTTGGTTGGCTTACCGTTTTTTCTGTCGTAATGAAGAACTGACTCCCGTTAGTATTGGGACCAGCATTCGCCATGCTGACTGTATAAGGTTTGTCGTGCTTCAAGCTGCTAAATTCGTCCTCAAACTCCTTGCCCCATATACTCTCGCCGCCTGTTCCGTCGCCGAGAGGGTCGCCACCTTGAATCATAAACTTCCGTATCACACGGTGGAAGATGGTGTTGTTATAATAGCCACGTTTGGCATGCGTAACAAAGTTCTCCACAGCCTTGGGAGCGGCATCCGGGAAAAGCCTGATGTGAATGTCGCCGTAGGTGGTATGAATAACGGCTGACGTCCCTGTCTCGGCCGCCTTCTTCTGTTCTACCTTCTTTGGCCCTCCCAACACGGTTGGTTTCTCGTTCTGGACGTCTCTGGTCGACTTGGAGATTTCTTCATCATTCGTGAACATGTAGAAGCGTACCTTGCCCACGCCGGTCGCTATCAGCATTGGGTCTCTTGTTTCCGATTCCTGTAGAAGTGGATTGGCAGATGCGGCCATGGCAACTGTTGTCACGCCCTTTTTCTGAGGCTGACCTTGGTAAATGGCCAGAGAAAGGGGCCTGAATCCTTCTTCCTTGCCATATACCTTAGCGACCTGATTGGTGTAGGTATTGAGAACTTTGATACCCAGGTAGGAGCCGTAGAGGATGAAGTGTCCTGATTCGTCAAAGACTACATTGAACTTATTCCGTAGTGCCGGGGACTCAATTTCCCTTTCTTGCGCGATGCGGCGACCGAACTCTACGGCGTCGAGCTTCTGTAGTGCAGTACCAGCCTGCTGCATTTCCTCCACAACCTTGAGAGATTCGTCGTATGTGCGTTGTAGTTTCCCGGAAGCAAAGTCGAAGATGCGGATCTTCCGATCTGGGAAAGAGACAGTGACAAATCGGCTGCCGTCAGGAGACAGTGCGAGGGAAGTTGGTACAGCCTTTGCCTTTTTGAACTCGAACAGATTTGTGGCGCTCTTGAACTTGAAGACCGATTCGGGTTTTCCGTAGGAGCCACTCGGCTGCCAATATTCCACCATGCCGCCGTCATCCGCCGAAACCACGCAGTCAAATCTGTCGTTGAAAGCCATGATTCCTACTGGACTGCGGTGTAATCCACTGATGGTATGGAAAGGCTTTTCTTGCTGACCACGTCCGTCATAAAGATGAATGACGGGCTTTTCCTCCTCGGAAACTGCTAGGATGGGCAAAGGGGCACCCTTTCGGTGCACCCAGCAGACACATGTTGGTACATAGTCGAGTTGAAGAACGGCGAGAAGATCGAAGGCATTGACGTCGAACAGCTTGATGGTCTTGTCGGCACCGGCTGTAGCAAAGCTGCGGCCATCTTGACTCACAGAAACAGACTTGATTTCGCCGAGATGAGCCTTGTATTCCTTGACGAACTCGAGTTCTCCGGTGACCTTCTTCCAGAACTTGACAACGCCGTCTATCGAAGTGGTGATCAAGAAGTCGGTGATGGGTGTCATGGTGAGGAACGTCAATTGTTCCTTGTGCATCAAGGACTTGGAATACCGGGCGGACTTGGGCATGGCCTTTAAGTACAGCTTCTCGTAGGGAAGAACGCGGCGCTTCTTCTTGGGCGCCTCGGCCGAGGGCAGCTGGGGGCCCATATCATCGTCGGAGGAGCTATCTGCATGGCAACGTGCCGTTGTCAGCTCCTGGGATTCAGGATGGTTGCGAGGGGCAATTCGGGTGACAGAAAAAGGTGAACATCACTTACCATCTCCAGAACCGTCCTGTGCAACGCCCTCTGTGAATTCTTCATGCGTGCGCTTGTTCGACTTGACGTCATCTTCTGGTTTATTCGATTCCATCTTGACTTTTGGGCGACAGAGTTCTTGTGGGAAGACTTCGATCAAATACCGGAGCGGTTTGAGTTTGAGGGTGAAGATTAGATGGGACGGGATGCTGTCGCGACATGGACCACACCATACACTATCTGGGCGCAGATCGGCGGTTCCTGCGTGTCCTGCGACGGCTCCCGGCGGGAGGTCTAGAGTGGAGACTCTGATTGAATTCTCCAGGGTAGGTGAGCCAAGTACAATTGAAAACGTCAAAAGCTAGTGAGTGCATGAGACCGGCACGATCGGTCATCGATCGCCTTACCTCGCACGTGAAAGCAGGTTTTCTGCGTTTTCGTTCCCATTCGTTTTTCCGAATCTGAGGCCTGTCTTCTATCTCTTTTCTCGAACAGTTACACTTTGTTTTTCGCTCAAGACGTCCTTCAAACATCGATCGCAAATTACACTCGTTCTTTACACTTCTTCGTTTTACCACCACCCATATTCTGTTCGCCATCGCGCCCGCAACCATGACAATGCATCCCTTGCAGCGTGTCGCTTCTCCATCGCGGGGCCTTTCCGCCCTTATACATATGCTGGGCATGGTGTCTTTCATGGCGAGCTTCAGCTACCTGCACTTGTTTCCGCGGGAACTTCATCTGGGATTCGGAGGAGCTTTCAAGTTCCTAACCATCATTGGCCTGGGTCTAGCACTTGTCACGTTTGCAGTTGCGTTGCTTGCGGATCTAATCTTGAGCCCGAGCCTGTTCAGAATCAAGAATGTCCTCTCGGTCTGTTCTGCGCCCTTGGCCGTGCTCATAAGCACCCTTTACTGGGGCATTTGTGCAATTAATAAGAACCTGGTTGTGCCGCCCGATATGGCCATTCCCGTTCTCCCAGATGTGTACGAAAAACTTACCGTAGCCTATCTGCTGTATGCCTGACTGGTGCAAGTGGTGCTGTGGCTAACAAAACCCCAACAGAGGATTCCATGCCATGCCGGCTATCATGCTGACGCTGGACTTGATGTTCCTGAGCCCCCCTTGGACGGTCAAGGGATATGGTGCTATGACTATCAGTACGACTATAGCATTTTTTTACTGGGGCTGGGTGGAACTCTGCTTTTCTAAGAACGGATGGTAAGAACGACGGACACGAAGCAGAGACCAGGCGGTAAAACCGCACACAATTCCGACACCCTCGAGATTTACCAAAATGTCTAACTGTTTTGTCAGGTATCCGTACCCGATTTTCGATATCCTCAACACCTGGCAACGAGTCTTGCTGTTCACCTTTTCGGCGCTGTTGATGACAGGTAGCACAATGGCTTTGAAGTGGGTTTATGGCAAGATCAACAGCATCGAGAAGTTCAAGAAAGATGCTCTGCGCCCTCTCAAAGACGAGTGATGATCCCGGTATTCAACAGTCTTACCAATGCAAATCTAGAGTTGGCTATTGACCGTTTGCCATCCATCCATCGTCATGTTCCTGACTGTTGTTACAAGTATTGGGTTCTAATTGAACTCCGGTTGCGTTTCGTTTGTCAAGGAAGTCGACATTTTGAGACCTGGGAATGCAATAAGACAGTCAAGATATGAATGTTGATACCCTGCATTCGTTGTGAACAGTCAGCTATGGGTGTGAAGAACAAACATGTACTTACCGGGCTTGCAAGAGCGCGCACCCCGGTGCCCAAGCTCCGAAACCCGGACCGAGTAGGTCCCCCGCCAACTGTCGAAGGCCACCTGCATTTTGGCTTCGTCACCCGAGCTTGCCCGGAGCATACACTACTATGTAGGTACCTCTATGTTCCATCCTACGGTTAACGATATCACAGGCATAGCTGTGTTCCCTTTACTTCGGAGGCTGAGAACGAGCAAGGCCAACCACATGCATGCGAACCGTCGGGTGCTCTTGCATGGAACTTTTTTTGCCGCCCAGAATCCTTCCATATTCCTTCCACAACTGTTCCATGATGACGGACCATCCACTGCATGGGCCCGGCCAATTGTCTCTCTGCAAGAGGATGAAGGATCACCATTTCGTGAGCATGAGCCATTGTAAGAAATATTGTGAACATGGTCTCCAAATATCACTCGCCCTTAAACGAGAGCTCACCGTTCGGGGGTTTGCCGTTGGTTCACAGGAGAGGAAGCGGTTGGATATGGATTGCTCCGTGTCTGACTCTTACATCGTCTTTGCCCTGTTGGAGCTACTACACTACTTCCAGTAGTGTACCAATGCCCATGTCTGTGCTTTGATCCATTGCATACGGATACTCGTGCATCTCTCTTACCATGTACTCACACCTTGATGCCCTCATCCTCCATTTCATCTCGTCAATTTCCTTAAAAAAAAAAAAGAGACTCTGTTGACGTTGCACACAGCTTCCATGACGGAAATACCTCCGGTCTCTTGTGTCGATAGCTTGAACTTTTTTGGTTCCTTGATCGGCCTTTCTCTTGCTTTGACCCCATCACGCAGCCGGCCCACAATGGATAGGGCGTTCCAAGGTACGGCGACCCTTAGCGCTGCCAACAGTCTTGGGTACCGCTACTTGCGCCCCGCCTCACCAGCACCGCACTTGCATTAGGATCCTCTCCAACCACGAGTATCAGATACCTCTTGAGAGGAGTGTGGTGTCATTGCAGGCTCCTGGTTGCCCCTCCTACAAATTTTAAGGTTCCGTACCCAACATGCATTGGACTGGACGGGAGCTGTCAAGTCCCTTTGCCGCCACCACGGCAGCGCCGAGAAAGGAAAATAGGTTCTTCCCCCACAAACCTGGCTTGTTCCGTCCTTTGACTCATAACGAATATTTGACTTAAAATCATTTTTAGTCAGAAGTCGAAGGGCCCTCTTTAGTTCCCGCTCTCATCTACTGTTTTGCACATAGCTTGGTCCACGGCACATAGAAGTCACAAGTCCTCAACATGTCGGTACGTCATGTCCACTTAGATAGAGCCCCACGCCTACCAATGTTGTGTTTAGAGGTTGGATTGACTCACATGTCGAATCTTTAAGCAACATTTCTACATTGAGAACCGCAACGTCGGCAATCAGGCCGAAAGCGAGGATTGGCGCAGTAAGTATCAATCTCTTTGATTCAGATGTGGAATATTTGCAATTCATTACGCCCGGAGCTCCCTGCTTACTGTCAATCTTTAATCTAGTTCGCGGCTACAACCCGCTGACCCCTCCCGACCTGCTCCAACATGAGATCCCCCAGACCGCTGAATCGAAACAAACCGTCATCAATGGCCGCAAGGAGGTGGTTGCCGTTGTCAATGGCACCGACGAGAAGGAGAGGCTACTAGTAGTCATCGGTCCCTGCTCCATCCACGATCCCAAGGCCGCGCTCGAGTACTGCGATTTACTGCTCAAGGAGAAGGAGAAGCACAAGGATGAGCTGTTGATCGTCATGCGATCCTACCTCGAAAAGCCCCGGACGACCGTTGGCTGGAAGGGCCTGATCAACGACCCCGATATCGACAACAGCTTCCAGATCAACAAGGGCTTGCGCCTGAGCAGACAGTTGTTCGTTGACCTCACCTCCAAGGGCATGCCCCTCGCCAGCGAGATGTTGGATACCATCAGCCCGCAATTCCTTGCCGATCTATTGAGTGTCGGCGCTGTCGGTGCTCGCACCACCGAAAGCCAGCTCCACCGCGAGTTGGCCAGTGGCCTCAGTTTCCCCGTAGGCTTCAAGAACGGCACTGACGGTACCCTGGGTGTTGCCATTGATGCTATTGGCGCTGTCAGACATCCCCATCACTTCTTGTCCGTCACCAAGCCCGGTGTCGTTGCCATCGTCGGAACCGTTGGCAACGAGGACTGCTTCGTCATCCTCCGTGGCGGTACCAAGGGCACCAACTACGATGCGAAGAGCATCGCCGAGGCCAAGGCTGCGCTGGAGAAGAGCGGCTTGCGCCAGCGCCTGATGATTGACTGCAGCCACGGCAACTCGAATAAGAACCACAAGAACCAGCCCAAGGTCGCTGCCGAAATTGCGCAACAACTTGAGAACGGCGAGACTGGTATCATGGGCGTCATGATTGAGAGCAACATCAACGAGGGCAAGTCTTTTTTTTTTCTTTTTTTTTTTTTTTTTGGGGGGGGGGGGGGGGGCATATAACTGTCTAGATTTGCAGCTGTTCGCTAACACAACGTACAGGTAACCAGAAGGTGCCCGAGCAAGGCAAGTGCGGCCTCAAGTACGGTGTCAGTATCACTGATGCTTGTATTGGCTGGGAGGATACTGTCGCCACTCTCGACACGCTTGCGCAGGCCGTCAAAAAGAGGAGAGAAGTCCTGAGCAAGAACGCCACTGCCTAAGTCATGCCAATTCCTGGTCTTGTTTGCTTTATGGTTTATGGGTCATTTGACAGGGGTTCACGAACCCTAAGTGAGGGATACCGAATATATACTGGCGCGGGGATGGGAACACAAAAGTTGACATTTCTGCATGTGGTGTGTTTTGATAAAGAGCGTGTATTGATGCATCTTAGGAAATGGCTGTCGAGACAATAGAAGATGGTAAAAGATGGAGCGGGTCTGGATCTCAAAACGAAACGATTACCTTGGTTTCTTTCGATGATAATCTCCAGGATCGTCCATGTTCGACTACAGTTTTGCATTGCCTTTTGTTTGGATGCAATTGTGGTGATGTGTTGGTGTGAAGCGTGATAGCCGTGGTGACCAAATCTGAGCTTCACCTGCGATTACGGAGCCAAGGCATAGGTAGGTATGTATGTGTGGTACATAGCTTCAAACCTGGCTTTCCTTGGCAGCTTTTCCCCGGCTGGGTCCGGTCACGCTGGGTCGCCGTGAAAGCTGAAAGACAGGAGGGGCGGACGGCGGGCGGCGAGAGCTTGGACAATTATGATTTCCATGGGGCGATGCTGGCTGATGCTGATGCTGATCCTGATCCTGATGCCCAGCTCCCAGCTGTGCCCAGTTGGATTGGTTGCTTGTGAAACTTCCACTTGCAGGTCGGGATTGGGCTCGCTGAGGTGTCTATCTTACTGAGCAAGGTAGTTACAAAAAGCGCTGAGGCCCGCGGGCAGAATGAGGTAAATTAGTGCGGAAAATCCATCGGCCGGGGCCGAGGGGAAGTGTAAAAGCTCGAAAGGCTGCACGGTGATTGGCCCAGCCAATCAGATTGCGAGTGTTCCTAAGATTCCCGAAATTCAAGAAACCTACGGTCCTACCTACGACGCTACGTGAAGGGAATCGACCGACCTTGCACCTGGACGGACCTGCTCGACCTCCCGCCCGCCAGACCTGATACTGTCACCGACATTGCCAACCCAATTGGCCTTGTCCCCCGAACCCGCGATACTTTTCTAAAGCTTCGCTCAGCTTGCCCACCATGCTGGCGAGGACCTGCCTGCGCTCGACGCGCACCTTTGCCAGCGCGAAAAATGGCGCCTTCAAATTTGCCAAGGTTCGTCTCGATTGCTTCGACAACTCTTTCGTCCTCGTCTCTCTGCCCCTCCAAACAACAGATCTCGGCCGCATCGCCACTCGAATGGCTGGGCCTGGGCCGGCTTGAGCTACCGTCAACCTACTGCGAGCTCCCTGTCCGGGGCCCAGTTGCCCGACCATCCCCGCCCCGGCCGAGCCATCCTGTCTTGTCTCCTTCACACTCTCGCGCTCCTCGAGGAAAGCTAACGGACGTGCCCGGCAGCGTTCGGCTTCCACCCAGAGCTCCGGCGCCGCTGCCGAGTCTCCCCTCCGCCTGAACATTGCTGCCGCCGCTGCCACCGCCGTCGCCGCCGGCTCGATCGCCTGGTACTACCATCTCTATGGATCCGCTTCCGCCATGACTCCGGCTGAGGAAGGGTGAGTTCCCTACGATCGATCCGACCATCCGCCCCGCTCTAGCCGCTGGACCGAGGTCTGCCTCATGTGTTCTGAGGCATATACGACCGAGCTCGACTATAGGCATGAATCTGGGCATGGAGTGACTCGAAGCTTACCGTTGACGCAGTCTCCATGCTACCAAGTACCCCTGGGTCCACGAACAGTGGCTCAAGACCTTTGATCACCAAGCGTAAGCAACCACCCCTATCCAGCCCATTCGAGGCCGCGCCTCCCCTTCAAAATGACTATCTGGCTCATGACTTTGTTTTTGCCCGACTGCAGTCTTCGCAGAGGTTTCCAGGTGTACCGTGAGGTCTGCGCCTCGTGCCACTCTCTCAGCAGAGTCCCCTACCGCGCTCTTGTCGGCACCATCTTGACCGTCGATGAGGCCAAGGCTCTTGCCGAAGAGAACGAGTACGACACCGAGCCCAACGACCAGGGCGAGATCGAGAAGCGCCCCGGCAAGCTTTCCGACTACCTCCCCGATCCCTACAAGAACGATGAGGCCGCCCGTTTCGCCAACAACGGTGCCCTTCCTCCCGATCTCAGCTTGATTGTCAAGGCCCGCCACGGTGGCTGCGACTACATCTTCTCCCTCCTTACCGGCTATCCCGATGAGCCTCCCGCTGGCGCTTCTGTTGGCGCCGGCCTTAACTTCAACCCCTACTTCCCCGGTACCGGTATCGCCATGGCCCGTGTCCTCTACGACGGCCTCGTCGACTACGAGGATGGCACCCCCGCCTCCACCTCCCAGATGGCCAAGGATGTTGTTGAGTTCCTCAACTGGGCTGCTGAGCCCGAGATGGACGACCGCAAGCGCATGGGTATGAAGGTTCTGGTTGTCACCTCTGTGCTCTTCGCCTTGAGCGTCTATGTTAAGCGTTACAAGTGGGCTTGGCTCAAGTCGAGGAAGATCGTCTACGATCCCCCCAAGGAGTCCACCACCCGCCACTAATTTAGCATTGCCACAATGAAGGGCAAAGTCATGACATGCACACAATAACCGTTGTGAGACGTGCGTGATTTTCCTTGTCTTTTTCTGTGTATGTATCATATACTATTGCTGCCCAAATTTTGCTCCCTCATGTTCCTCTTGCGCATCGGTCAGAAGGAGCAAAACAAAAAGGAATGGGCAGGGGCGGGATCGGTAACCATGGGCAATGCGGAGATGTGCGGGCGTGTGGGTTGAACATGAAGATGGTCGTAGAGTGTATAAATCAAATTTTCTGGTCAAATACAACATAGACGTTATCGCCTGTGTCAGACAGGGTATGATGGTATGGGTATGACGGTCAAGCTGAACTTGCATGTGAGTGGATCAGGATACGGATATTACGACATGGGCATTTGAACGGATGCCAAAGAGTAAAAGTCATTTCCCTGTCGGCTACATCATCATGTACGCCTTTAACTTCGAGAGTAGTTGAGATATAGTATGAGCTTCGAAAGCCTTGACATTTCTCGATTGGCAATCTCTCTTTCACCGAATCACGGTAAATGTCAGCACGAAGTACCACAGAGGATGCCCCTGGCTTGGCATTTGATTTGCCTTCCAAACAAAGTCTTGGTCCCCTCCCCTCCCTTTTCGATTCACTCACTGACAAGCAACAACATCTTGAACCCAAACTCATCGTAGAGTTTTCAATCACATTTTGATTCTACCATTGTCTGACACCACATACGTAAATCCAAAACTCGCCATCCACAGACAACCAGCAAAATGTCATCATCAAAACTATCACCACCCCAATCACAGGCCTGTCGCCTCCCATATAACGATGTCATGTCACCAGCCCTCGCCAATGACATCCTCAATGGCTTCAACGTCGACTTCTCCTCTTCCTCCCAAGACCGAGACTTCCTCGCCTCGCTGCTCACCTCGGGTTTCGCCCCACCGGTTGAAGTCCGCAAACTTTGGGAACCGAGTCTCATGCGTGGAATGGAAGAATGGAAAATGATGATGGACTGTGCCCATTCCTTGAGGGATCAAGCTTATCGGGTTCTGTGGCTGGAGCGAGAACAAGATCATGGTCAAAGTCGCGTGATGGGTGATCCTGAGCTGTGTTTGTTGCCGTTTCTGGGGATGATCATGGCGGGGAGGAAGGAAGGGTGTTTGTCTGACGGGGATACTTGTGCTGAGAGTCGCTTGGGGAAGAGGAGGAAAGGTGGGGGAGGAGAAAAGTCATCGGCGCAAGTGGGAAGAGGTGGAGGCAAGAGGGTGAAGAAGACGACGGGTGTGATGGGGAGAGGTGTCTCGCGTTTTTGGGCGCAAGACGACACGGCGAAAACGAGCAGACAAGGGACGAGGGGTCGGGGGGAGATCGGTGTTTCTGACGCTGTCAGAAAAGCGATGAACGGCCATGAACCGATTAGTGAGGAAGGAAAGATGGCATTGCCGACTCGGATGATGTCGGTTGTCCACCGCTCAGCTGGGCCTAGTCAGGGCGAAGGAGAATCGAAAGCGAAGAAATCTAGGTTGACCGATAAAACGAAGCTCGAACACTCGAAGTTTCCACATGAACCAAGCTACGCCGGCACCTGGAGCCCCCAACGTAGCCTTGCTTCACACTCGTCCCCTAACGAAAACCTCGATGTCGCCCTTGGCGATGTATCGGTAGCAGGCACATCGAGTTTTGACGAATGTGTTTCAGCAGCTAACGTGAGGATCACCGGAAAGCGCACTTACAAATCGCGCTTTTTCAGTGAACCACCGCCCTGGCCGATATCAACAAGCAAAGCCTCTCCTTCCAAGATCGAAACCTCCACATCCAAGAGCAGATCCCCTACCAAGAAGTCCCGAAATCCACACCCACCCGGTATCTCTTGCCTCCCCATTGCTCCCCTCTCAGCCCCGAGATTCGGATTAATTCAAGAAGAAGTAGCAGCCGACCCCTTCCGTCTGCTCATAGCCGTGACATTCCTGATTAAAGTCCGGGGTACAATGGCCATCCCTCTATTCCGCCAACTAATGGATCTTTTCCCTACTCCCGAGGCGCTCGCCAGTGCCGATCCCTCTGAGATCATCAATCTCATTCGCCCACTGGGGCTATCCGTCAACCGTTGCTCTGTCATACAGAAATATGCGCGGATGTTCATCGAGTGTCCACCGTGTAAAGAAAAGAGGTACGGAGTGAGGAATTATCCGAGACCTGGGGATGCGAGGGGTGTCAAGGTGGGAAAGGAATTTACGGGCGAGCCGGACGACTTCCATATCGGAAAAGCGTCACAGGCAGAATTTGACGATGATGATGACAGGATCAACGCCGTCAAATTCGCCAAAGAACATGCCATTGGATGCGCCTGGGAAATCGGCCATCTCACACAGGGTCCATACGCTCTGGACTCGTGGCGGATATTTTGTCGGGATAAGCTACTCGGTCGGGCGGACGACTGGAAGGGGAAGGGTCGTCGTCCGGAGTTTCAGCCGGAATGGATGCGGGTTCTGCCGCAAGATAAGGAGTTGAGAGCGTACTTGCGGTGGATGTGGTACGTGTTTTTGTTTGAATGCATTCTCTTTTGCTTTGATCTTCTTTCCCAGGCAATCATTCGTTGCTGACGAAATTTGGACAAACAGGATGCGTGAAGGATGGGAATGGGATCCTATAACCGGGGATAGAGAGCCCCTCCGTGAGGAGATGCGGAAGGCAGTGGATGAGGGACGGGTTGTCTATGATGGGTGTGGTAGTTGGGTGATCTTTGGATGAAAAGAGATGAGAGGATAGAAAGATGATGTTCCCTGAAACACACTGTTTGTTCTGAGTTGCAGTGGTCGGTAAGCATTGGTGGACACAAAGTCCAAGCACGCCGCGAAATAGGTTCCATTCACTGTTGTACCTTCCTCAGAATCACCTCTTGTCTGACGAGGGCCAGATGATGCGCACTTTTTCCAACACCCGGAAGGCACCTGCCTTGTCAGGGTCTGACTGACGATATTGAAGCGACCCTCTTCCTCGCCTTTGGTTGAGTACAATACTAGGTAGGTATCTACTACTCCCGCATCAAAGATCCACGCTTCAAGAGACACGATACGATTTTCGCGGACCACTACCGTTCCCAGAAACATCCAACGGTAACCCCTCATGGCTCGCATCACACACCTCGCCTCCTCGGCCGTTCGCGGCATTACCACCCTCACGTTGCTTACAGGAGGCTTCTTTTCTGTCTTTGCGCAAAAGCAACCGAATGGAGGTTATGCCATAGATTGCATCTTTACGGGCGCAAGTTTACGAGAGGGTCACTGGCTAGGGTGCAACTGTCTGAACGACGACGTTGCCATTCTCGGCTACAACTATACTTGGTGAGTCTTTTGATGTGTCAAAGTCATCATGGTGCATGTGTGGTGTGTGGTTTTCTAAGATGCTCATCGCTTGTTTAACCATAGGCTGGATCTGAACTTTTGCTTGGGAAACAGAAATGGTACCTTGGAGAGTTATGATACGTAAATCACCATCCAGTGATCTGATTAGGTACGCAGCTTTCCATCCAGACGATGATAACTGACTCGCTCTTGCCCCTTCAGCGGAAACTACACTACAACCTGCCGTGACTGCAGAATTCTCAACAACTACCGTACGATCTTCCTGAACTGTCTATGCCCGGACATGGCGCATGTACTACACAACACCACGCTTGATCTGAGTAAGTTCAGTCCTTGCGGTAACGTATATCTGCTTGAAGTGTTTGTCTAGCTTCTAACCATATCACATTAGACACTACCCTGTACAATGTGAATGGATGTGCGGGTTGCTATAACCACATGGGAAACAAGTCATGGGATGGTCCCCCCCCTTCATCTTCAAACCACACTCTGTCGTCAATCTCATTCTTTTGACTACATGAAAACCTGGAAGAGTCCGTCCCATTGAAAGCGCGGCTCGTACTTCCCAAGGCTGTCGCTTAAATAATGCATCTTCAAAATCGATCGTCATGCCCAGTGTGATCTTCGCAGGCGTGTTCCTCACCACGCCACATACATGATATGTTTGAATCCACTGCTTCCTCTGTCCTATTATTCCATCTGCAGTCCAGACTTTACCTTTCTAATCCATCATGATTCGTACATCGAATTATTCAAGTGTCTCTCAGGCATGTCCAACTCGTTAGCTCCACCAGCAAAGGGCACTGGATCATCTCGAGGTTCTTTGTAACACAAAGGCACCCTATTGTGGCTTGACAGACCAAAGCTCCCGAGACCAACCATGCTCCCTGATCTTCTTCGTCTCCTTAGAGATGGCCTTCTTTTCGCTCGCGAAGATAGCGAGCGCTTTACTACCAGAGGCAAATGCTTCCACAAGCTCCTTTATCCTGCCAGATTTGACGAATTCCTGAGATACGGCTGAGGCTTTCTCAGCGACAACTGCAGCCAGCTCCATGCACTCGAGCAAGTAGTCGCGCGAGAGGGTAGCGCCGGCAAAATGTAGAGAGCTAACGAGGGCCAGAACGGTTTCTGGGATGTAGGCCTCACGAAGAGCTTGGAAGTCGGGGTCGGCTAATACGAACACATGTTAGACGAAATTCCACCCAAGGATGGGAAATACGCGAGTGAACTTACGCCGAATGGTTTCCAGCAACCACCCCTTAAGGACTGGTTGCATGTATGCTTTGGCCGCGCGGACTTCCTTGTTCGTATGCTGCCACAGTTCGCGGGAATTGGTGCTGTCCCTAATGCGATTCAGTTAGTCGTGAACGTCGACTCGTTGTGTCTGGAATTACTCACTCCCTGGCGAGACCTGCCAAAGAGGACAAAGTCTCCATCGAGTCCAAAGCCTTGACAAGGCACTCGAGCTCCCACATGTTTCGTACTTGCGTGATCACTGCCTCCTTGTCACCGGCGTACAACGCAAGCAACTCCTCTGGAAGCTCACTCGCGGCGAAGTCGGCAAACCATTCAACACTACCATCGTCCCCCTTTCCCCCGACCCGGGGATGATCTCCCGGCCTGGCACCCTCTGAGAAAGAGCACGGGCGGCGCGCAAGCGTGTGCGTTCTTGAGAAAGTTAGCAGGCTGCTGCAAGACAGAGAATAGCAATATTGTAAGAATACTCACTTAAGAAATACTTGTAGGCCCTGACGACATATGTGCATGTTTCCACGAACAAATCATCGATCAGCATGAGCCATTCCAGAGAGCAGATGATATGTCCCTCTTCTTGATCGAATTCTTCTGCCTCGTCGTCACCAAAGAAATCTGGCTTCACTATGCGGCCGTACTTTAGTGTCGCCGGGCCGTCCTCCAGGACCTTGAACTTCCCCTTTGCCTCACAGGGCTGTAGAAGGTCGTGAACATCGCTGAGGAAAATCTGGGGTTGCCTCTTGACAAACTCCGAGACACTGATGCCTAGTCTATTCATAATGGAAATCTGCACCCTCCGTGCACCGTTGTCGAGAATGTGGATAAGATTTCGGCTGAGCGCCTCGTATACGCGCTGCCCATGTAGCTTGGAGCAATAAAGTGGTATCATCTCCTCCAGATTGGCGAGGCGGAGGAAGCTGATATAGGCTGCGATAATGTTCTCCATGGCCTCTTGATGGGCATCGGAAATGGTACGGGTCTCGCTGAGCCTGTTGAGAGTAGTGAAGATGATGAGAACGTGACTGAGCACACGAAGGCTGTTGTGGTCCGACAGATTGAAGTATTTAGGGTGAGTAAGGTCATCTGGGACTTGCAGGTCAACTGGAGGTATCAAGTTGGACTTCGATCGTTGATTTGCGTGCTTCGCCAGGACGAGTCCCTGATTAGTCAAATAACGGCCAAGTTCATGCGCAATAATGGCACCCTGTAGTGCCTTGGATGGCCTTGTAGCTTCGTTGCTCGTCCTCAAATCTGTCTCGAGTAAGGTGACGAGCCTCTTGCCGACCGAATGCGGATCCCCGTGATGCAAAACAGCGTTGAAAGCAGGGAACTGTTGGGCGATCCTAGCGGCCTCATCTCCGCCGTGCTTGACCAGATACGAGTCGAACCGTGTTCGAAGTAGAGCGTTGTAGTGAGCAAATAGCAGGTCATCCCACGTCTCGCACACCTTCTCTACACTCGCGATATCACCGGCCAGCAGGCCATAGACCGCCCGGTCGTAGTCACTAGTTCCGCCATCCCGAGCGGTAGAGAAGCACATTCGCCTCCATAGAACGAGCGAACGCGGGTCAAAGTCCGGCTGGTCCTCGTCTTCTGGGTTCGCAAGCGGTAGGGGCGTAAGAGACGCAGCTCTCCATAGCTCCGTCCTCATAGAGCACCATTCTCGAATCTCAGCCATTGAAAAGCCACGACGTAGCATCTCAAAGCAGCCCAACCAAATGGCGCGCTCGAAAAAGTCGTCCTGGGTTTCCAATTTGCGAGCTTGCCGTGTGATGGCATCGGGATCGAGCTGGGTGACAAGCGTGTTGGAGCTGAGATGTGATTCGGCAAAGCCAGATGCCCTTGGGTCAAGCGATCCTTGGTACCCGTTCACGCTCTTCTGCAGCTTGATCTTGGTGCGAGTATGAAGCCAGCCATGGGCAAGAATGTCACCCCTCTCTGCGCTCTCCTGAAGGTGGCTCACAACGTCGTCTACTGGCGGTCCCTGGCTTGCACTGCTCTGAAGCCACTCTAGCACGACCTTCTGTTCCCTTGCCAAAGAGTCAGACAGCATGAAATCGTTCCACCATTGGTTCCGTGACTGTAAGGATGGTTTTGTGTGTTGTTTCAACTGAGATGTTTCGTCCTGGCCATATTCCAGGGGCAGCATGCGCCGAAGAAGATCCCAAGTTTGCGCCTCCTCTTCTGCCTTCCGATATTCTTCGTCAAAGTTTACGGCGAGGTCATCAATTTCATTATCGTCGATGTCCATCTCATTTTCGCGAAGGGTGAATTTGCGTGGCTGACGCTCGCGGAGTCGATCCGCCCTTTTCCTCGAGTATGCATGGTAAGAGTCGATAAGCTGGAAGACCTGGGCGCGCTTCTCTTCTGTGGTTCCTCTGAGGTCGGTGAGGTGGCGGTCTAGCTCTCCCGAGAAAAACTCGACTTCATCGCCGGCTCGGATGACGGTTTGCCGGTATGATGACGGCTGTTGGGCCATGGGGGGAGGTATAAGTCCTGGATGCGCATGTAGTGTTAGCAGCTAGCTGTTCTTAGGGCATTCGAAGCTCCACGATAATCGAACCTAGATCTGGGCTTTCGCTTTTCGAGGCAAATGAAAAGCTCGCGTCTGAGGTAACAGAAGGGTCCTGCAGCAACTGCGTATCAGAAGAAATGAACACTGCCGTGCGGCGTCGGCGTATCGAAGGATTGATGTTGCTCACAACTGTGGGTGCCATGTTCGCCCTTGATCGTTTCCGTATACGCGAGGTTCAAATGGGGGTAGATCGATTGGCGTGATGTTGTGATGACTGTTTGGTAGGCGCGTCGCGGGTTCTTGGTAGGGGACGGCGGACGCTTCTGTCTTTCAATCGCATTCCATGCTGTGCTTTGTCCACTTGTTCGTTGAAAGCTCCTTCCAGAAAGACAGACCGGTTGCTGGGCAAGATGGAGTCCCACTCTCGGGGACTGAGATCGAGATCAATGTTGGGGTTGTGTCTGCAAGGCGTAATGGGAGCACAAGTAGCGAAAAGGTCCAAGTGTAGTTCTACACACGCCCAAGTATGGAAAGGTAATTCATGTTGTAATAATTCACGTTGACGAATTTCCAATCACACGTCGAAGCTCCAGCTGCCGCTAGCAACTCGCTTGCCGTCCGCACGACGCGTTCTATGCGGCTCAAAAAGCCGGACTGGGATCTGCGGCCGGCAGAATATGGGTCCCTGGGCGAAGACCTATGAACCCCACCCAAATTTCAAGCCCCTCCACCTGTGTGAGAAATTGATACAAAAAGCGACGGACCCCAAAAACTTCTTTGGTATTTTCTTCTTCTTTTTTTTTTTTTCCTTACAATGTCCACGGCATTCCTATTAGAGTCTCGGAACAAGACCATCATTTCTTGTTCAGGCCCATGAGGTCTCTCGCGTGCTCAAGGATCGCCCAGAGGAATACCGCACTTTCCGTTTAAGTTACCTAACACCTTCACGGGCGTTTAGGTGGACATATCTGGACAAGTGATACATTTCGACTCCTCTTGTTTTCCTTCATGTAGCCTTCTTTCTCTGTTCCATCTTGAGCCGTAGCAGGCTCGCTTTGGGGCAGCTAACTGTTGACGCGCTTTCGCCGTTCTTTTCGTAAAACGCGTTGCAACACTCGTAGAGTGCGTCTATCTGTTTCTGGCATTTGCTCTCATCAAATCCGTTTCTGGTTAGGCAATCTGCGGCGTGAAGTGAGGTCAGCAAACTGCGAGTTCTGAACGACACAGGAGTCAAGCTGGTCATCCTCACTTTGTATCGCGCACTGCAGGCACAAAAGAACCGCATGTCAGCACACCACGCGTGCAAGCCGTAACAAAAGAACAAGGGAAACATGGAACAAACCGCGCGTGGATGGCATGGCGGATTGGCTGCGAGGTCGTCTTGCAATGTCTAACAAAGCAACATGAACGGTCAGCAGTGCCTCAGGGGAGAGCCGAGACATTCTGTAAGGGGAGACCTGAAGCTGGTACTGCGCCTAAACCCACCATGGTATCGAAATTTGAACTCGAGAACTCCGTCTGGTTGGAAGCTGGATCGTGAAGAAGTCAAGAACTGGTAGTTACCCTTCTTTGCTCAGGTGTTTATAAAATGGAAGGTAAAAGCCAGAGCTTCGAGTGGGACTCTGGGTACGCTCGAGGATCTCCCTCCTGCAAGTTTGGAATCCCCACAACCTAAACAATCCCGGTGCTTCGGTACCCCATTCTCCAGTCCAGTTGCCGCGCCTATCAGTAACCAAAGGAAACGGAGGGATGATGTCAGGAACTCTCCGGATCGAAAACACTTCAAGTTATCGGTGACCACCAATGCGTCAATCTATCTGTACTATTTATTCTTCTACCAGCTTCACTACAACCTAACGCTGGAACAGGCAGTTAACCGCGGACTAGGACTACAAGGAACTGTTCCTTATGGGGCTTGTGCGACGCAAGGTCGGGTGGTCTGCAAAGATGAGCGAAAGATTGGTATTCGAATGGTTGACCTAGAAGTAGTGCCAAGTGGTGGACAGTGAAATACTTGGGCACCTAGTTATGTGGGCTTGCAATTCGGTGTATGAACACCTTCACGAATTGGCCTTCCTCGGCCCTTTCGTCTTATGTTCACCTTTTGGATCAGGCACGGGTATTACACGCATGTGCCGCATTTCAGTAGAGCCTTAAGGAGCGCAACTTACCACAAAACTTGGCCAGGTCGAGAGGAGGCATCAAGGTTTCGTACAAATATTGGTGTTTCAAGGCTGGCCCCACCTGAACTTTGCGTCCAGCGCTGCAGTCTTACAAACCGCCGCCCTCCAGCGAGCCGTCGTTTACTGCATTCGCCGCAACCACGCTTCCACCTCAAAAGCACGACTTGACCCGGTGCACCTCGCCTTCCACTTCTCTATATTCTCACGGACCTACTTGACTCGACGCTTCCCAAGACCAGAAGTCTGCCACAGCATCTTTCAATACGCCTATCTACTGCAGTAAGACAATCCGCTTCTCTCCTCGAATTTTGCTGTCCCTCCACCGATTTCTGGTCCATCTCGTTGTGCGACAACACAGGCAGGACGAGACTCTCCGGCGCGTTGACACGCGCGCAATCTCTGACTTCCATCGCAGCCTGGAGATCTAGCATTTCCGAACATTGACACCTCAAACTCGGCCCTTCCAGTTTTCATTGACGAAGTTTCTCTGCGACTAGACTTCTGCCTAGCATCTCCAACTCCCAAGTCATCAACATGGCGGACAACGCTGAGAACGGAAGTGGAAACGCTGGCTCCGATGCCGCCGCCCCCGCCGTCGAGCACCTTAACATCAAGGTGACGGACAACAACAACGAGGTCTTTTTCAAGATCAAGCGCAGCACCAAGCTCGAGAAGCTCATGACGGCGTTCTGCGAGCGCCAGGGCAAGACGCTGGCTTCGGTTAGGTTCCTCTTCGAGGGTCAGCGCGTACAGCCCACGGACACCCCGGACACTGTAAGTAAAATATGGCATGCACCTAACACCTGTGGTGATGTTGCTGCTAGCCCGGGAACACCATGGTAGACGAAGCACCCAAGCACGCCAGAAATATGTTTGCTAACCAGGTCTATTGCTACCATAACATAGCTCGAGATGCAGGACGGTGATTGCCTGGAAGTCCACCAAGAGCAGGTCGGCGGCTGGTAGATAAAAGGCGATCCTATACTACAACTACAAGGAGATGGGAGAAAAGAAAGGGAAAAAAAAAAAAAAAATTTTAAAAAAAATACAAAGAGACAAAATTAAACCGGCTATATGCATAGTAGCAAGCGGAACGACAACCGGCGACTTGATCACCAGAAAATAGCTTGCGAGTGGTATCCGATTCTATAACAGGACAGGGACTGGGTGGGAGTTTCGGAATGTGACAGCAGGATTGGACACGGGGTTACGGAGAACATCACAGCTTTTGCCATTGTCACTGGACGCACGCACTTTTTCTACTTTTGTTCCTATTCGCCGCATAGGTGATGCCTAGGAGAACCGGAGTTCGGAGGGTGCTATCATTGGGGTCATAGGGCGGAGGGGTATCAAGGAACATCGATTTGATTCTATTTATACCATACTTTGACAGGACGCCAACTGGCTTTGCCGGCATCTTCTGTTTGAAGCGTAAACACGGCATCTTTCCAAAAGGCATTCTGCCTCTTTTCTTCCCCCCTTTTCCACTCCCAGATGTTGTAACAATACTGCGAATGCTCATTTATGATGCCATGCACATTCTCGAGCGCTGTCGAGTGTTTATTATCCTAGAAATTCAAGGACTCACATTGTTGTATCTGTTCCCGCTCAGCCAGTGAACCCATTGCAGTGACATTCGTAGACAGACCCTTTACTCTCCTCTACCATCATCTCCAATCTGCCCAGCTTCAATCGTCGTTCCCGAGCGCTGTGGGATATCGTCAACTCCTTGCTTATCTTCAAGGCTGATTTAACCATGACGTCCATAATGCCTATCAGGTAGGCTACGCTGACAAGTCCAAAGCAACCCCGAATAACCACACTATGACATCCTAGTTTCGTGTGTTGATGTGTTATTATTATGGTATTGTTTGTATCTCGATACTCGTACATATGAACCCCTAAACACTATTGAGTAAAAGAAAATGTAGAGCAACATCCTGATTCCAATGCTATGCAGAGAAAAAAGAAAAAGAAAAAAAAAGAAACACCCTTACAATGCTTTGACCTTTGCCCCTATATCCCTATACTCTGTCCTGGACTCTTCTTTGTGTCCGTCATTGGGAAAAGTGGAAGAACCCATCCACTTCCGTATGCCTATGCTTTTAACTCCCTCTCCATGCATCCAGTACAAAGAACAACCATCTCACCCGGCACCGTGCCGGCCCTCCCTTCCCTAGGGAATATCTGTCCATCATCGAACCCGCCGCCGCAGTCGGCACAGCGGAAACACTCATCGTGCCACTCGCCGCCAAGCGCCCTAATGTACTGTCCGATGACGGCCTTCCGGCACTTGCGACATTTGGGCGCCCTGCGCTCGGTGCGCTTTGTCTGGCACGACACGCACCACGCATAACCGTCCTTTTCGATATGCGTCATGCCGCGCTCAAATGGGTCCCCGCACTCGGCGCAGAAGAAGTGGCCAAAGTGCCAGTGGTGGCCCAGCGCCACCACGTGCTCGCCCATAATGGGCGTCGTGCAGTGCTTGCACCGCGGCGCGAACAGTTCGTGCCAGTCCAAGTGGCAGTAGAACCGGAGACGCGCGTCACCGTCCTCGGCCATGGTCTGGCCCGGCGTTTCGGGGAGATGTTCGCCTGCGGTCCGCCGGGCGATGCGCTCGAGCCGCGCCGCCCGGTGCTCATCCGGTTCTGGAGAGATCTCGAGCGCCTCGAGCGACGTGCCGCATGAGTAGCATGTGAAGCACTGCGGATGGAAGCGCTCCGTCATCCCGGCCAGCGAGACGAAGCGGCCTTCAATGAAGTCGCCGCACTCGTGGCAGCGAGCCGTGGCGCGGCTGCCTGCTGGTTTGGGCGCCGGCGACCAGTGGCTGCGTGGCCGAGCTGGCATATGTCGACCTACGGCTCCCGGGGTGGGGAGCGGGCGTCGAGAGCTGCTGCTGTTGGAGGTGCTGGATTTATCGTCTGGCGTCACGATTACTGGAATGCTAGGTCCATCATCGTGAGATCCGCCTGGGAGGACAATCTGAGGGATGTTAGATCGTGATGATGAAGCTGACTCCGAGACAGCGATGGAGGGAACAGATATTGAGGGGATAGAAGATGAAGGTGGCGGTGCATTTATTTGAATACCGGGTGGGGTTGGGACTGGGAGTGGGCGTCTTGTTGGCGACGAAGACGACGGTGGGGTTGAAAAACCATTCGAAACAGGGATAACAGGGACGTTCGGCGTCGAGCCCGGCTGCTGTCGTGGTCGCTGGGGTTGCTGTGGGAGTGCTCGCTGCTGCTGTTGTTGTTGGTGGTGTTGCGATTGCTGCGGCTCTTCTTGGGGTTGCTGCGACTGCTGGCTGCGGAAACGTCCAGGGACGAGCGGCGTCGAGCGGTCGTCACTCTTGCCGAATCTCGACGGTCCTTCTGGCGTGTCATCAGCAGCCTCATCAGGAGCTTTCCATTGTCTGTCAAAGCTTACGATGGGTCGACCGGGATTGTCACTGACGGCAGACGGCGTAGGTAGCTTGACGCTGCGGTCTTTCAGCTTCATGCTTGTGGCTTGCCGTATCTCATCGCTGCGGATTTCCATGCCGTGCTTTCGAGGAACCTCTTCCTGCACCGGTTTCTTTCTTTCCCAAGGCAAAGCGGGGCGTACGTTGGTGGTGTACTGAGGGTTGCGGGATTGGGTGACGGGATTACGGTGAATCTCATACTTTTCGTACCTAGATCCGTCTTTGGGAGGGGACGAGGCAACGCCATCCGCTGCCGGGGACGTTTCAGGGGCAAACTGTACGCGATTCAGGGGGTTCTTGGGTTTCGCTCCCAGTTGCTCAGGAGTTCTGATTTGTGCAAAGTTATCCAGGCTAGAAGAAGATGACCGCGCTTCTGATTCCTCCGAAATCTTGTCACCTGGGAACGGCTTCTGGGGCTCACCAAATATGTCCTTCTTCGAACCACTCCGTAGGTAACCGCTACTACCTGAAAAGGTGCTGTACGACTTGGAGTTACCCGATTCTGGGGAGCCATCTCGCACACGCTCACGGCTCGCCCTAGGTGTCTCCGGCAGCCTGAAAGACAGCGGGCGAGCTGAAGCTGGCGATACTGGGCTTCGACTTGACCCTTGTCCTTCTTCGCCATCCGTCGAGCTTCCCGACATTGAGTACGTGCTCGTATCTCTGGCTAGACCAGTGGGGGCCACATCGCTGCCGTATTTGACGCTGGCTGTGCGGGCATGGGCGTAGCTGTCTTTGCGCAAGTGAGGCTTATACCGATATGGGGTGCCTGGCTCGGGCGGTCTCTCTTTCCCGGGGTTTTCGTGTTGCCATACTAACTCAGCTGCCTCGGCCAGCGCGGCTTCGTAGAGACGCCTTTCCTCCTCGGTTTGCTCCGGAGCCTCATCGTTCCCAGAGCCGGGGCCGACATCCGGCCTAATCAGCGGGCCACCACTGGCGTTCTTGCTGTGTCCCTTTAGATCCATGTCCTCCATAGCCTTGCGCAAAGAAACAGCCTCCTCCTTTTCCATCCATCTCTGACCGCGTTCGATATAGGTAGCAGAAGGTACCACCTCTGATGGTTTCAAGAGCCGGGCTGGACGGTCTGGGTAGTAATCTCTACCTCGGGTCACGTTTGAGTACTTGGAGCCAACGCTGGCGGTCACGGAGCTGCGGCCAGGGGACAGCTCGGTTGGGCTGGATGCATTGTTCGCTTCTGAAGTGCCATTTTGGATGGGAGAGGAGGCGGTCTCGGAGAGGCGAGGGGCTTGTGTGAAAGATGACCGGCTGCTAGGCGAGGGACTGGCAGCAGTAGTACAAGAAGTATCGCGTTTCGAAGCGGGCAGTGGACGTGCACCACCAGGCCTGTTAAGTCGACTGGCGCGTAGATCTTTAAGATATGCGGCTGGATGGTGTTTGTGTTAGTGCGAGACAGGCCATCAAACACGTCCACACCCCCACCTAGCACCTAGGAGATAGTCGGGAAGGACGGCGTACCAAATTGCTCGCTGCTCATATAAGAAGGCGACGGCGGAGTGGCCTTTTTGGGCGAAGCACGCTCGCTCGAGTTACTCCGGGCAAACATGGCGGGCGAGAGGTGACCCCCTTCACAAAGGTGTTTTGCAGCCCTATCTCTTCTTATTTATTGGAATGGCGGGATGTTGATCGTCAATGATGGTTAAGAGTGGAGAAATAGAGACGGTGAAGGAAAGGGTTGGTGGTCGACGGCTGTCAGAAGCGGAGTGAGCCTTGGGAAGTCCCTGGCTGGGAAGGTGGAGCGCCGGACAAGTCGGTTAAAAAGGAGTCAAGGACTCTACACAGTAGGCGGAATTGATCTCTGCTGCTATAGGTTGTATGTAAAAGTACCGAAATCACGTTTATTAAAGACGACGCCTGCTGTGTCTGTTGTGATGTATGATGCTGTTCCTGTTGTAGTTGTTATTGTTGTTGTCTCTCGTTGATTGTGCCTACCCACCTCGTCCCAGCCCCGTCTCAATGCAAAGAAACAAGTGGAAGGCAAGGAAGGGGACGATGACTTTTCGATTCGTAGACCTCAAGCCTGTTCCGTGAGGAGGCGATGTTGCCAACGAAGGAGAAACCCAAAGAATCGACTGCCTGGGCGGTGCTGGAAATAAGAACAACAAAAGAAATATTCTGGGTCAATCTAATGTGATGTGTCCAGACATCTAGTGTAGGAGGTGGACGACCGTGAATAGGTAGTGTACAGGTGAGGAGCTGACGGAGTTGGTAACAGTTAAACGGTATCCGTTCCAAGCGATTCGCTGCCGTGCAATTGGATGGATGGCTTGATCGTCAAAACAAGATGGAAAGACGAAGGGGGGGCTCCCCAGCGACGGACCCGGACCGCGTCGCTGGATACATGGAAAGTGCCTGCCTCTGCACTAACCGTGGGTGTGTGGTTGGGGATATCTGTAGAAGCACGCAACACCCACTCTCTTGCAGAGAGTAGGTAAAAAAATCGAGGGATAGCCAGAAATCGAGGGTCAGTCAGGTCCGTGCGCCTACTACTAAAATACCTTCATTTATACTATAAAGTTAATAGATTTAATTAATAATATAAATATAAAGCCGTAAATAATTTTAAAAGTTAATAATAGTTCTATATTACTAAGATTTAACTGTTTAATCTATCTCCCTTATTTTATAGAAGCAGCGTACGTCGCTGATAATTAACGTTACTTTACTCGGTCGTTTAAATAAAAGGTCGTCGGTACGCTTGCCTCCTATAGTAAATATATTTTCTACTATACTACTATATTTATAATTAAAGTTAACTATTAGGAGGGGAGCTCTCCCTAACGTAATAAAGACCTTATTTAGAGGGTGCGGTTAAATTTGTATTAATTAATATAATTCTTAGTTAAAAACGAATTTATCTTCGTTTTTTTATTTATCTTTATTACCCTCCTCTTCTTTATCTACTTACTCCTCTCCTCACTCGTTACTATTATTATCGGTATTAATTACAATCTTCTAACTAATATCCTTCCCTTCCTCCTCCTCTTCCTCGTTATTAAATTCACTATCAGATTCATCTAAAATATTATTAATTATTATTAACAGTAATATTACGCCTTTATCTATAACAATTATATTATAAAGTGGCTGTAGTATTAAATTAAATATAAAGGGCGCTTCTCTTGTATTAATTATAAAAATTAGCTTTCGTTTACTATTATATATTTTTAGAGGATAATAAAGGTTATTAAAATTACAATAACCACTATTATTACCGGTCTTAACCTGTTAGGAGGCTAAGAGCTCGTGCACAGAGGCACCTTAGCGGCTGCTACTCCGCTTCGTTAACGGAAGCGTAGGATCATTTACGACAACGCCTATATCGGGTCGGACCCGCGGGAAGGATAATCCGGCACCGCGCCGAGGCGCTAGACTAATATAAGGCTCTATAATATTCGTTAGCGGAGGAATAGAGTTTACATAAATATAAAAGAAGTTCAATGGAACGTATTTTATTATAATTAGTAATTATTAATATATTTTTAAATTAACCCTTAATTTACTATTCCCTACGTATAGCTACGACTATAGTCACCTCAACCTACCTTTCGCCTACGTTCCTAACAAATTAATAACTCTTCCTCCGGGAATTAAACCAATACCGTTAAAATACACACACATAGCGGCCGGTCTATCTCTCGCACCGCCGAAACTACTCCTTATCCCTTTTATACTACCACCCTTATAGTTACTATAATTAAAACAACCCAACCTCCTCCGCCCTCATCGTAATAATACTAACCTACTATAGAATTTATTAAAGAAAATAATAACGAAAATTACCCCCCTATACCGCCCCGGGCTCCCCGTTTATATCCCTAAACTTTAAAAGCTAATAAACTTACATATAAATAATAATTATTCAAATTTTAATTTACTATAATTAAACTCCTCCTTAATTACCTTCCTTCATATATATTCTAATAGGAATAATTCGCATTCATAGGCCTCGCCGAATAAAATTCAATAGGAAACTACCCTCCTATCCTTACCGGGTTTTATTACTAAAACTACCTCTTCTATAATTAAATTTATATTTCTATTATATCTCCCTTTACTACCCCTTCGTTAGTAACTGTCGTTGTAATTACCCTTTTAATAATTATAATTATACCGGCCTATATTAAATACTATCCTAAATATAATATTACTAAATTTACTAGTAAAAATTTCTTATAATTATAGAACTACTTCTATAATATTAATATATACTTTTAAAAATACCCCTATACTTCCCTCTCATTTATTATTAATTATATTAAAGGTAATCCTAAGAATATATAAATTAAATATATATTAATTCTCTATAATAAACTTAAGTACAATACTATTCATAATACGCCTATGTAAAACGACCTCCGTACTTTCTTAAAAACCGAATATAATAGTAATACTTAAGCTATTAAACAATCCGCTCTCAACAAACTCGAACACATATAGTAAAGCGCCTTGGAGATTATTCGTACCTTCTATAACCGTTATTATACCGAAGAATTCAATTTATTATATAATTAACCGGAATATATTCAAATTATTATTTAAGCTAATCAATTGCGCCCCCTCTTTAAATAAAATATCCTTTCGATAGCTAATATTAATATAATAAATAAAGTAATAATATATATAAAACGGTTAAAAGGTTTAGAAAATATCGAACTATCCGTATTATATCGCTAATACTAAGTATTTTTAAAGTATAATCCGTTGTCTTCTTTATTTTTATACCCTCCTACCTCCTCTTCGAATATTCCTTTACAATCGTTCTATAGCAATAACCCCTCCGATTTTCCCTATTACCCCCCTATTACTTTTTAAATAAATTCCAATTTTATTTATTCCTTTTATTATTAAAAAGGCTATACGTATAGTTAATATACTTAATTAAAGCTACCGAATACCTATTATAAATATAGTATAACGGGCTATTTCGTAATAGTATACCTAAACCAAACCTATTATAATTATAATTAAGTCGGCTATTTAGTACGGAATTGCCCTATCCCCGCAAGTACCCCCTTATATAGAACGAATACTAAATTAATTATAATTAAAGTGGTAATTGCAATTATTTAAAATAATATAAATAAATTGTAAATATACTTAGAAATAAGGTTATTAATAAGGATTTATAAAAATTAGTAGAGTATACGAGGGTTAATAAATTCGGGCATAGAATTAAACCTAATTAGTAGGTATCTACTCCTATCGAATATAAAAATTAATCCAATACCCTATCGTTTTATTAATTTTTCCCTTCAACCTATTCCTATATATAGTACAATTACCTATCTTATTAAAATATATAACTCCTATAATATTAAATGGACAAAGTAAATTATATTTATTATAATTAAATCCCTAGTTATAAAAGTTATCTTCGGTTACCCCTAACTTTATAAATAAAACCCCGACATTAATTAATAACGATAATCGTTTCAATTTCGTATTAAAGCCGGCGATTTTATATTAAATATAGTACCAGCGAAGGAAATATACAACGCCGCAACTATCCTAGCGGGGCTATAGTAGAATTTAATTCTACTACTAAACCCTCGGGAAATAATAAAGGCAAAAGAGGGTTTCCGCCCTCCCGTATATATAAATATCCTATTCGAAATCCCTTCTTCCTTAGTGTCAAAATTTGTAACCCTACTTATCGTAATAGAATCGGCTAAATCGCCTCTAATCCCTACCCCCCTAATAAAAATTTTTCGAATAGTATTTAACGATATTTACCCTACTCTAATACCCCCTACGGAACTAGCGCTACTATAACCCTTAAAATTATTAAAGGAAATAGAAGGCGAGCCCGCCGTCCCCGAGCCGATTATCCTATTAGAATATAAAGAATTCTAATTGATATTCGAAACCTCTATTATACCCTTACCCCAATACAATCGGCTAAAATATTGTATTAATCTAGTCGAAGGGGAATCGGCGCCTTAAGGACTAATCTATATACTAAATATTAAAGAATTAGAAGTATTACACGAATAACTAGCGGAAATACTCTAGAAAGGGTAAATTCGTCCCTCTATTAACTTAGCGGACACTCCTATTATTTTTATTCTAAAAAAAAGTAAAAAATTAAGGTTCTATATCGATTTTAGGGCATTAAATAAAGTTATAAAGAAAAATCGGACAGCGTTACCCCTTATTCAAGAGATTCTAAATTGGTTATTATTAATTAAAGTCTTTATAAAATTAAATTTAAAGGACGTATATTATAGGATTCGGATTCGAGAGGGAAATAAAGAAAAAACGGCATTTCGTACGAAGTATAGGTATTATAAATTCTTAATTATATTAATAGGATTAGCGAATACGCCGGCAATATTTTAAATATATATTAATAATATATTAATAGGGCTAATAAATACTATATATATTATTTACTTTAATAATATCCTAATTTATAATAAAAATAAAAAAAATTATATTAACTATATTAAAAAAATCCTTTAATAACTATAAAATTATAATTTCTATATAAACTTAAGTAAATATAAATTTCATATAAAGTGAATATTATTCTTAAAATATATTATTTCCCTAAAAAATGTAGCAATAGATCTAGAGAAGGTAGTAGTAATAACAGAATAAGAAGTTCCGGCAAGCGTTTATAATATCCAAATCTTCCTAAAATTTATAGGATTCTATTAATACTTTATAATATTATACTCCAAAATAATTACGCCCTTAATAGAA